ATCCAGGGCCTTCCGGGGCCCTTCCCACCCAGGCCTTCCGGGGCCTTCCACCCAGGGCCTTCCATCCGGGGCCTTCCAGGGCCTTCCATCCGGGGCCCTTCCATCCAGGGCTTCCGGGGCCCTTTCCCATCCGGGGCCCTTCCATCCGGGGCCTTTCCCGGGGCCTTCCATCCAGGGCCTTCCATCCAGGGCCTTCCGGGGCCTTTCCATCCAGGGCCTTCCATCCAGGGCCTTCCGGGGCCTTCCATCCGGGGCCCTTCCATCCAGGGCCTTCCAGGGCTTCCCCGGGGCCTTCCCATCCGGGGCCCTTCCCGGGGCCCTTTCCATCCAGGGCCTTCCATCCGGGGCCTTTCATCCAGGGCCTTCCGGGGCCCTTTCCCATCCGGGGCCCTTCCATCCGGGGCCCTTTCCCAGGGCCTTCCAGGGCCTTCCAGGGCCTTCCGGGGCCCTTTCCATCCAGGGCCTTCCAGGGCCTTCCGGGGCCTTCCATCTGGGGCCTTCGAGGGCCTTCCAGGGCCTCTTTATCTCCACTTTCACCACCTCTTTATCTCCACTTTCACCACCTTTTTCTCCACTTTCACCTCTTTTTCCACATTTTTTCTCCATTGCACCTCTTTCTCCACATTTTTTCTCCACTTTCACCACATTTTCCTCCACTTTCTTTCTTTTCTCCTTTTTCACCACATTTTCCTCCACTTTTTCTTTTTTTTCCCCACTTTCACCACATTTTCCTCTACTTTCTTCTGTTTTTCTCCACTTTTAATCCCCCTTTCTCCACTTTTACCTCTTTCTTGACCTTTTTCTCCACTTTTACTTCTTTCTCCATTTTTTTTCTCTACTTTCACCACCTCTTTCCCCCTTTTCACCTCTTTCTCCACTTTTTTTCTCTACTTTCACCACCTCTTCAGAGAAGAAAGTGGAGGAAAATGTGGTGAAAGTGGAGAAAAAGAGAAGAAAGTGGAGGAAAATGTGGTGAAAGTAGAGAAAAAATGTGGAGAAAGAGGTGCAAGTGGAAATAAAGGTCAAGAAACAGGAAAAAGTGGAGAAAAAAGGTATTAAAAGTGGAGAAAAAAACAGAAGAAAGTAGAAGAAAATGGGTGAAAGGGGGAAAAAAAGGAAGAAAGTGGAAAAAAAATGTGGGAAAGTGGAGAAAAAATGTGGAGAAAGAGGTGAAAGTGGAGAAAGAGGTGGTGAAAGTGGAGAAAAAATGTGGAGAAAGAGGTGAAAGTGGAGAAAGAGGTGGTGAAAGTGGAGATAAAGAGGTGAAAGTGGAGAAAGAGGTGGTGAAAGTGGAGAAAAAATGTGGAGAAAGAGGTGCAAGTGGAGATAAAGGTCAAGAAACAGGTAAAAGTGGAGAAAGAAGGTATTAAAAGTGGAGAAAAACAGAAGAAAGTAGAAGAAAATGGGGGAAAAGTGGAGAAAAAGAGAAGAAAGTGGAGAAAATCGGGTAAAAGTGGGAAAAAAAGTGGAAAAGAGGTAAAAGTGGAGAAAGAGGTGGTGAAAGTGGAGAAAAAATGTGGAAAAAGAGGTGAAAGTGGAGAAAGAGGTGGTGAAAGTGGAGATAAAGAGGTGAAAGTGGAGAAAGAGGTGGTGAAAGTGGAGAAAAAATGTGGAGAAAGAGGTGCAAGTGGAGATAAAGGTCAAGAAACAGGTAAAAGTGGAGAAAGAAGGTATTAAAAGTGGAGAAAAACAGAAGAAAGTAGAAGAAAATGTGGTGAAAGTGGAGAAAAAGAGAAGAAAGTGGAGAAAAATGTGGTGAAAGTGGAGAAAAAATGTGGAAAAAGAGGTGAAAGTGGAGAAAGAGGTGGTGAAAGTGGAGAAAAAATGTGGAGAAAGAGGTGAAGGAGAAAGGGGTGGTGAAAGTGGGATAAAGAGGTGAAAGTGGAGAAAGGGGGTAAAGTGGAAAAAAAATGGGGAGAAAGAGGTGCAAGTGGAGATAAAGGTCAAGAAACGGGTAAAAGTGGAGAAAGAAGGTATTAAAAGTGGAAAAAAACAGAAGAAAGTAGAAGAAAATGTGGTGAAAGTGGAGAAAAAGAGAAGAAAGTGGAGAAAATGTGGTGAAAGTGGAGAAAAAATGTGGAAAAAGAGGTGAAAGTGGAGAAAGAGGTGGTGAAAGTGGAGAAAAAATGTGGAGAAAGAGGTGAAAGTGGAGAAAGAGGTGGTGAAAGTGGAGATAAAGAGAAAAAAGTGGAGGAAAATGTGGTGAAAGTGGAGAAAAAATGTGGAGAAAGAGGTGAAAGTGGAGAAAGAGGTGGTGAAAGAAGAGAAAGAGGTGGTGAAAGTAGAGAAAAAATGTGGAGAAAGAGGTGAAAGTGGAGAAAGAGGTGGTGAAAGTGGAGATAAAGAGAAAAAAGTGGAGGAAAATGTGGTGAAAGAAGAGAAAAATGTGGAGAAAGAGGTGAAAGTGGAGAAAGAGGTGATGAAAGTGGAAAAAAAGGGGGAAAAAGGGAAATAGCGGGGAAAAGGAAAAAAAGGGGTTGGGGGGAAAAAAGTAAAAGGGGGGAAATGGGAAAGATTTTTAAAGTAGAAAAATGTGGGAAAAGGGAAAATTTCTACTTTCTTTTTCACCCTTTTTTCCACTTTTCCTTTTTCTCCACATTCACCCCCCTTTCCCTTCTTTTTTTTCCCATTTTCACCTCTTTCTCCACTTTTTTCTCCACTTTTTCTCTTTTTCCCCACTTTCCCACCTCTTTCTTATTTTCACCACCTTTTTCCCCACTTTTTTTCTCCACTTTCACCACATTTTCCTCCACTTTCTTCCCTTTTTCTCCACTTTCGACTCTTTCTCCACTTTTTTCTCCACTTCCTTCTCTTTTTCTCCCTTTTCACCAACACTTTCTCCACTTTTTCCTTCTTTCACCACCTCTTTCTCCACTTTCACCACCTCTTTTTCCACTTTCACCTTCTTCTTCACTTTTTTCTCCACATTTACCACCCCATTCTTGTGACCTTTCCTTACAAAATCCTACAATGAAACCTCACCTTCGCCCTTTTCTCCTCTTTCTACACCCGCTTTCACTACCTTTATTCCACTTTCTCCTCATTCACCACCTTTTGCTCCACTTTCTCCTCTTTCACCACCTTTTTCTTCACTTTCTCCACATTCACCACCCCTTTCTCCTCTTGTTCCACCACTTTCACCACCTTTCCTCCACATTCACCACCCCTTCCTCCTCTTTTTTCTCCACATTCACCACCCCTTTCTCCACTTTTTCCTTCTTTCACCACCTCTTTCTCCACTTTCACCACCTCTTTTTCCACTTTCACCTTCTTCTCCATTTTTTTTCTCCACATTCACCCCCCCATTCTTGTGACCTTTCCTTACAAAATCCTAAAATGAAACCCACCTTCGCCCTTTTTCCCTTTCTACACCCGCTTTCACTACCTTTATTCCACTTTCTCCTCATTCACCACCTTTTACTCCACTTTCTCCTCTTTCACCACCTTTTTCTTCACTTTCTCCACATTCACCACCCCTTTCTCCTCTTGTTCCACCACTTTCACCACCTTTCCTCCACATTCACCACCCCTTCCTCCTCTTTTTTCTCCACATTCACCACCTCTTTCTCCACTTTCACCACCTCTTTTTCCACTTTCACCTTCTTCTCCACTTTTTTTCTCCACATTCACCACCCCATTCTTGTGACCTTTCCTTACAAAATCCTACAATGAAACCTCACCTTCACCCTTTTCTCCTCTTTCTACACCCGCTTTCACTACCTTACTCCACTTTCTCCTCATTCACCACCTTTTACTCCACTTTCTCCTCTTTCACCACCTTTTTCTTCACTTTCTCCACATTCACCACCTCTTTCTCCTCTTGTTCCACCACTTTCACCACCTTTCCTCCACATTCACCACCCCTTCCTCCTCTTTTTTCTCCACATTCACCACCCCTTTCTCCACTTTCTCCTCTTTGTCCACCACTTTCACCACCTTTTTCTTCACTTTCTCCTCTTTCACAACCTTTTTGACTGGAAGGCTGGATGGAAGGCTGGATGGAAGGCTGGCTGGAAGGCTGGATGGAAGGCTGGATGGAAGGCTGACTGGAAGGCTGACTGGAAGGCTGACTGGAAGGCTGACTGGAAGGCTGGATGGAAGGCTCTACAAGGCTCTACAACTATGGCGACGTAGGGGAGGGCCAAAAGTGCGTCTTTCTTGTCCAGCAGCACGCACCGCAGGATCAGAATGATAGCGACTAGCGTTTTCCCGCCACTCGTGGGGGCAATATCCAGTCCGTTCTTCTCCTCCTTGTCTTGGTCGATGTGACGGTGAAGCATTTCCCACTGCCAGTCATGCAGCTTCCGTACGTGGAAAATCTCGAAGAGACATCGCCTCAAGCCTTCTCCGAGACCGAAGAACTCGTCCTCCGGGTTTGTGTTTAAGTTTTTATTCGCAGAATATTATGTGGGGGCCCCCTTGCCTTGGGGGCATTTTGTTTGTCTTGTGTCCATTGGCATTTAAATATGCGAGACGAAGAAAGGCGTAGGAAAATAAACAAAACCACGCGCAGGCGGCCCAGAAAGTAGTCCCGGGAAGAATTTGGGCATCGAATGGAGAGGCGCGGGCCCTTCGCAGACTTTTTTTTGTGGCGGTGGTCTGTTTTTATCGCGTAGCCAAAGTTGAGCCTAAGTCACAACGAGTCCCTTTCGATCGCCGTGGGCATCGCCAGTGGCGCGGCGCAACAGTCACGGAGCACGAGGCGCGTCCTGTTAGCGCCCGCGGACGGATCCGGGGGTCTGGATCCGAGGGTTCGGATCCGGGGGCCCGGGGTCCGGGTCGCGATCCGGAGTTCCGGACCCGGTGGTCCGGATCCGGGGGTCCGGACCCCTGGATCCGGATCCCCGGACCCCCGATCCGGACCCGGATCCGGCCCTCGGATCCGGACCCACGGATCCGGAGACTCGGATCCGCACCCCGGATCCGAACCCCGGATCCGGATCCGAGGGTCCGGTCCGGGGTTCGGATCCGGGGGCCCGGGGTCCGGGGTCCGGATCCGGAGTTCCGGATCCTGTGGTCCGGATCCGGGGGTCCGAATCCGGAGTTCCAGATCCGGAGGTCCGGATCCGGGGGTCCGGATCCAGGGGCCAGATCCGGGGTCCGGATCCGGGGGTCCGGATCCGGGGATTCCAGATCCGAGGGGCCTGATCCGGGGGTTCAGATCCGGGGGCCCGGGGTCCGGGGTCCGGATCCGGAGTTCCGGATCCTGTGGTCCGGATCCGGGGGTCCGGATCCGGGGTTCCAGATCCGAGGGGCGGATCCGAGCCTCCGGATCCGGGGGTCTGGATCCGAGGGTTCGGATCCGGGGGTCTGGATCCGGGGTCCGGATCCCATCGGACGGAAAAATTGCTTAGGTGGGTCGTGTTAGGTTAGGTTAGGTTAGGTAAGGCGAATTATTTCTTCCGGACAGGCTTCCCAAGCCTGGGTTGCACTAACCTAGTCGACTCTGGGGTCGACTCTGGAGTCGACTCTGGATTAATTATGGGTCGATCTGGGGTCGACTCTGGATTGATTATGGGTCGAATCTAGAGTCCTGACTCCAGAGTCGACTCTAGAGTCGACTTGGAGTTAACTCGGATTTGATATGGAGTCGGACTCTGGGGTCGACTCTGGATTTGATTATGGAGTCGACTCTGGGGTCGACTCTGCGTCAACTCTGGATTTGATTATGGAGTCGACTTGGGGTCGACTTTGATTTGATTATGAAGGTCGACTCTAGAGTCGACTCTGGAGTCGACTCTGGATTTAAGTTAGGGAGTCGACTCTGGGGTCGACTTGGATTTGATTATGGAGTCGACTCTGGGGTCGACTCTGGATTTGATTATGGAGTCGACTCTGGGTCGACTGCTGCAGTCAATCTGGATTGATATGGAGTGACTCTGGGTCGACTCTGGATTTGATTATGGAGTCGACTCTGAGGACTCGGTCGACTCTGGAGTAACTCTGGATTGATTAGGAGTCGACTCTGGGGTCGACTCTGCAGTCAACTCTGGATTTGATTATGGAGTCGACTCTGGGGTCGACTTTGGATTTGATTATGAAGTCGACTCTAGAGTCGACTCTGGAGTCGACTCTGGATTTAATTATGGAGTCGACTCTGGGGTCGACTCTGGATTTGATTATGGAGTCGAATCTAGAGTCGACTGACTCCAGAGTCGACTCTAGAGTCGACTCTGGAGTCAACTCTGGATTTGATTATGGAGTCGACTCTAGAGTCGACTTCATAATCAAATCCAAAGTCGACCCCAGAGTCGACTCCATAATCAAATCCAGAGTTGACTGCAGAGTCGACCCCAGAGTCGACTCCATAATCAAATCCAGAGTTGACTCCAGAGTCGACCCCAGAGTCGACTCTAGAGTCGACTCCATAATCAAATCCAAAGTCGACCCCAGAGTCGACTCCATAATCAAATCCAGAGTTGACTCCAGAGTCGACCCCAGAGTCGACTCCATAATCAAATCCAGAGTCGACCCCAGAGTCGACTCCATAATCAAATCCAGAGTTGACTCCAGAGTCGACTCTAGAGTCGACTCTGGAGTCAGTCGACTCTAGATTCGACTCCATAATCAAATCCAGAGTCGACCCCAGAGTCGACTCCATAATTAAATCCAGAGTCAACTCCAGAGTCGACTCTAGAGTCGACTTCATAATCAAATCCAAAGTCGACCCCAGAGTCGACTCCATAATCAAATCCAGAGTTGACTGCAGAGTCGACCCCAGAGTCGACTCCATAATCAAATCCAGAGTTGACTCCAGAGTCGACCCCAGAGTCGACTCTAGAGTCGACTCCATAATCAAATCCAAAGTCGACCCCAGAGTCGACTCCATAATCAAATCCAGAGTTGACTGCAGAGTCGACCCCAGAGTCGACTCCATCATCAAATTCAGAGTCGACCCCAGAGTCGACTCCATAATCAAATCCAGAGTTGACTCCAGAGTCGACTCTAGAGTCGACTCTGGAGTCAGTCGACTCTAGATTCGACTCCATAATCAAATCCAGAGTCGACCCCAGAGTCGACTCCATAATTAAATCCAGAGTCGACTCCAGAGTCGACTCTAGAGTCGACTTTATAATCAAATCCAAAGTCGACCCCAGAGTCGACTCCATAATCAAATCCAGAGTTGACTGCAGAGTCGACCCCAGAGTCGACTCCATAATCAAATCCAGAGTTGACTCCAGAGTCGACCCCAGAGTACCTCCGTGAAGGTGGCCTGACCCATCAATCCCGCCCAAGTCCGACCGTATGTTTTTGATTGTTTTTCGTTTGTTTAGGTTTGTTTAGCGTTTGTTTTGCTTCTGGATTGTATCCCGACCCGGATTTCAAGGACCCCCAAATCGCCGAAGAAGTTGGCCCAACCCACTTTAACCGTGAGTCCTAACTTAACGCCGGTTTGTTATTTCGACTCGAAATCGTTAGTTTACGTTTGTTTTGCCAAAAGCTTAAGCTCTCGGAAGAGCCAGTTTGGTCATAGAAGCACGGTTCCTATACGTAAAAACAGTGGGTCGGGCCAGATACCCGACGTGTGGTTATAATCAGATGCGAAGTACCAAACCTTGAATTCAGGTTAAGAGCGATCTGTTTCGTTAAGTTTTGCCCTAAGATGTACAACTTTTACGTTGAAAGTGCATTTCTCCATTATTTAGAATTCGTGGTTCGGGCCACGTTACCCAATTAAAGTTACAATCAAGCGCGGAGTGCCAAACCTTAATCTTAGGTTCAAGACGGTGAGTTTCGAAAAGTTTTGCCCTAAAATGAACTACTTTTACGTCCACAGTGATTTCGTTTTCAATTTCAAAATCGTGGGTTGGGCCAGGTTATCAACGGGTAGTTTTAATCAAACGCGAAGAACCAAACATTGCATCGAGGCTAAGAACGATAAGTTTCGATAAGTTTAACCCCTCAGATGAAAAAAATTTACGTCTACGGTGATTCTTTTTTTTATTTCAAGGTCGTGGGTTGGGCCAGGTTACTAACTTGTAGTTATAATTTCACGTTATGTACCAATCATGTAATTTCGGTTAATAACGATCTGTTTCTTTAAGTTTTGCCCAAATATAAGCAGCCTCTACGTTAAAGGGCATTTGTCCTTTATTTAGAATTCGTGGTTCGGGCCACGTTACCCAATTGAAGTTACAATAAAGCGCGGAGTGCCAAACCTAACATTGAGGCTGAGAACGATAAGTTTCGTTAAGTTTTCCCCTAAGATGCACAACTTTTACGACTACGGTGGTTATTTTTTAAACTTCAAGGTCGTGGGTTAGGCCAGGTTACCAACTTGCAGTTGTTATCACACGCGAAGTACCAAACCTTTAAGTTTTGTTAAGAGCGATAAGTTTCGATAGGTTTTGCCTAAAAATGAACTACTTTTACGTCCACAGTGATTTCGTTTTCAATTTCAAAATCGTGGGTTGGGCCAGGTTACCAACTTGTTGTTATAATCACACGCAAAGAACCAAACCTGTTATTTAGGTTAAGAACGATCAGTTTCGATAAGTTTTGCCCTCAAATGCACAACTTAAACGTATACAGTGTCTTTTTTCTTTATGTCAAAGTCGTGGGTGGGGCCAGGTTACTAACTTGTAGTTATAATCACACGCGAAGTACCTAACCCGTAATAGAGTACTCCAAAGAAGCTCTGGCCCGGAAGAAGAAGAACAAAAACGGAAGTAAGAAGTTGCTGTATCAATGAGAAATATACGCTGCGCATGAGGGTCCGCAGCGTATATTTCTCATAGAAACTGCAATTTCTTACTTCCGTTTTTGTTCTTATTCTTCCGGGCCAGAGCTTTTTTGGGGTACTCTATTTAGGTTAAGAACGATGAGTTTCGATAAGTTTGGCCCTAAAATGCTTAACTTTTTCCTCCACAGCGATTTTTTTCTTTATTTCAAAATCGTGGGTGGGGCCAGGTTACCAACATGTACTTTCAATCAATCGCGAAGTACCAAACCGTAAATTTAACATAAGAACGGTAAGCTTTGATAAGTTTTGCCCTGCGATGCACAACTTCTACGTCCACGGTGACTTCTTTTTAAATTTCAAGGTCGTGGGTTAGGCCAGGTTACCAACTTGCAGTTGTTATCACACGCGAAGTACCTAACCTTTAAGTTTTGTTAAGAGCGATAAGTTTCGATAGGTTTTGCCTAAAAATGAACTACTTTTACGTCCACAGTGATTTCTTTTTCAATTTCAAAATCGTGGGTTGGGCCAGGTTACCAACTTGTTGTTATAATCACACGCAAAGTACCAAACCTGTTATTTAGGTTAAGAACGATCAGTTTCGATAAGTTTTGCCCTCAAATGCACAACTTAAACGTATACAGTGTCTTTTTGGCCCGCCCTTCTATTCAAAAAATAGGGGGAGGGCCTATGCATTTGCCTTTGTGTCTGTGTGTTGTTGTTGTTGTTGTTGTTGGCGTCTGTGTACAAGGAAGGAGTTGAGCTAGAGTAACCAGATTTGGAGGGTACTTCAGGAGTACCGTCCAGACAAATAATCCGGTGGTGCAAATCCCGTCCGGGTCGCACAAGGGCTGCTGCAGGTGCATCATGGTTTACATGAGCGGGAGGGGGATTTCCGCCAATACTGGTGCTAGCAGGGCACATAGGGGTATTTTTGGAATCGGGGCGACAAGATGAATGGACCTGGTCCCCACCCCATCGGCCGCTTTTACCAGTTGGCCAGATCAGGATCTTCAAAAAAGGGGGTCGACCGACTAAAAAAATTTATTGCAGATTTCGATTGGTCTCAGCAAGACCTTTTCAACGAGGGGTCGGAAAGGGGGTCCAGGAGCCCGACTTCGTCTATTAGTCACATCAGACTCAATCACTCACTCACACACACACACAAACACTCAGGTGTCAGTTTGAGAGTATTCGAGCACAATGCGTCGACGAAAATGATAGAAAACAGCGAGATTCCAGCATTTGCTACACAGGTTCTTCCCATAATCCATTCCCAAGTACCAGGGAAGGCCCAACTGAGAAATGTAAAGGAATTCTTTAGCCACGGCAACCTCTGTTTCAGGGACTTCCCCAGCCACGCCAGACAAAACACGGCGCCAACAAAATTTCCTCCGATTCTCTGGTATTGGAACGCACGACAATTCGTGGGTCTCTACTTTGGGCGAGAGCTACGCGGGCTCTGCGAGCCACCTGCATCTGTTTCGCGGGTGGGTGCGAGCGAACCGCGGACCCGGACGCCCCGCCCCGCCCCGCCACACCCCACCAAACCCCGCCACGCCTCACCACGCCCCGCCACGCCCCACCACGCCCCGCCACGCCCCACTGTGCAGGACAACCGTCGCTTTCAGTCATTCAGTGTGACAAGGGCCGTCGTGGTGCAAACGTCGATGTAGTTGTGTGGGCCCAGGGCGCGGCGATGGTGAAGTGTACACTGCAAGAGCAACCACGCCATGAGCCAGAACGGGTCCACGCGCAGCGCGGCCAGCAGGGCCGGCAGGGCCAGCAGGGCCAGCAGGGCCAGCGGGACGGGGCCGCCGTCGTGGACCAAGGTGCGTAGGGGTCCAACGAGGGCCTTTGGCCAAGGCCATCCAAGGCGGATCCAGGGGCGGGATCAGGTTCAGGGGGTGCAGCAAAAGTTGCCCACTGACGGAGGCAAAGTGCGACGTTTGGCCTACCCCCGTCTAAAGGGGCGACGTGACCCCCCCCTACCTCCCTTTCTCCCGAGCCGCGTCGAGCCCAACCGGGCGATGCGCAGTGGGACGGGAAGAAAACAAGGTCGACGAAGAAGTTCCAACTCAGGTTCTGCCTGCACACTGCACAGAGAGGGGAACCTTGCAGGCAAGGGGAAGTCCATGGACCCCGGAGGAGGAGGTTTCTTTTCGGGCGTGCACCCGCTCCGCGCATTCAATTTGAAATTCGTGTTTTGTCCCGGACGGCGTTTTCACCTCGCGCCTCGTTTGCACCGTGATGTCAAAGTCGCGCGTCGTGGGCTGCTGCTGCTTGGCGCCGCGTCCCCCGCGGGGCACTCGCACTGCCCTGGGCAAATGGACAACTGGACGCCCTCAATTTCTCATACTAAGGTTAGCACCGGTAGCCGTGGCGCCTGGCGTATTGCAACGCTTTGGCCACCGCAAACACCATCACTAGGGATCATGGATTCATCGGGGCGAGCTATCACCCCCATAATATAGGAAATATCGCAATTTTAATTTTTTTGCCGTCCACGGAAATTACACAGCCTCAGAAACTGTCCACGGGAATTACATTTTAATGGGCCCTTAGAATAGGTGCGATACGAACGCAAACGCCTAGCAGTTTAGGCAGCTCCCTCCACATCTGTGCATTCTGGTTCCATGTTGCGTACCTCACAATAAAATTTCGGGCTAGACCACAATTTGATCGTATGCCGTTTCGGGCCCGACACATGCCCGCGTGCACTGCCAAACGGGACACGGCCGTCCTTACTGGGGTGCCACGTTATACTGGCGGAGAAGAACCTATGCGGCTACAAGGTCGCACTCGTAGTGTGACCAGTATGTGACGAGGTATACATTCCCCCCCCGGGGGGGGGCACCCTAGAACAGCCTCTTTGAGCAGGACTGAGTCCGGTGTCCACCTCTCCCGGCTCAATTCCCTTGTCTCGGGAACAACTGGGAATTCATTTTCTTCTGACCACGGTTGCATAGTGTTTACCTCCCAGGCGGTACCTCTCACACTTGGCAAATGATGGGCCCTACAGTGGACAACGGAGGAAAGTCCCTCTTGATCAGCTCCTGCGTGTCTATGTTCGGAAAATAATTAATAATGGGTGCGATCAGTTAAAGAAAAGTTGATCGGCGGGTCGAGACAGCGGCCCGCTCGCGGTGCGGTCTATTTAGCCCTCCTGGAAGCATATCTGGCACCCACGTTTACTAACCTATATTTTCAGAAAGATTACTCTTTGAGTTTGAGGTACAGATTGCTGCAATTTATTCGATAAACTGGGTCTTAGCATTCGAACGGCAAGCTAAGGAAAGACGTCATGTCGCTTAACATATCGGTCAGGTTAAGTCCACCGCAGTGTCTCAGTGTACCCATTTTCGTAATGCTTCCCCCCTCCCCTTCCCCCAATCGGTGATATTTGAGGAAGGGAAAAGAAACAACCCAATTCAATCAAGTTTTGGTTATTTATAAATATCTATTTGACATTCACTAACATTACCAATCCAAATCAACAATTCGTAGTTGATTTTAAACTAATAATTGCGTGCACCAAGTTCAGCTTAAGAAAATCAATTGTTTTCCTATCTTGTTAACACTTTTATTTAACCATAATTCCTGATTTATTATTGGAAGGCTTAGAAAGCTGTCATTAAACGCCACCTTTAATATTATTAGATGGAATAACAATGCAAATGAAATTGAATTAGATTAGTATCTAAACTTTGAATGGTCAAACTTTTATACACCCTTTTTTTGTTTTAACACAGCCAATATTTTACTTACATTGAGATCATTCAAACTAAAGACTTTAGAAGATCATTTCATCATGATGATACACACCACAACCTGTCACTTTTCTCCAATACTTAATGAATATTTTGAAGTGGAATTACAGAACTAGATCAGGCCATGGATTGAAACAGGAGTACATGTTTATTTTGATAGTCGACTGGTCCCTCACATCTCATTTGAATCACATTCAAAAACATTCGAAGGTGCCTTTGATAAGGTCTCCTCTGTCGATTAATTGTGGCAATGTATGCAGCCACCAAATCCATGGTAAAACTCCACTTGTTCTTGGATGACTTATTTTCCATTTAAACAGGCCAACTGGTTTTGGTTGCTGTGCTTTGGCTGGACCTAATTTGTCATTTGGAAGCATTTTACGTTCATGATAAACTCGTATTTGTAAAAAAGAAAAGGGCAGCTTCTATGGAGCAGCTTGCATTTGCTGGCTAAAATTACAAAAATCAGCTTAATGTTATTGCTATTTACAGATAAATTGCCGTTTATCATATTAATTCACTTCACGTCATAAATTTAAAAGTCAATAGTTACCCTTGTAATACATATTTACAATTCACAGGAAAAATATCATTTTCTATATGAAATATAAAGAAATATCATGTGGCCGTGGAGCATAATTACGTTAACCCTTCGCCGTTGTCTGCAAAGAAGCAAGGAAATACTGTACAACTCCAGGGAAACGTATTCTGGACAGTGCCCACTTATTTTTGAATGATTCAGTACGCTGGTACGGCGCACCGTCTTCCGGGTGACCTCCGAGGAGTGAACCGCTGAGCGTTCTGGTGTCTATATTTCTAAACGTTATACTTTCCTTCAACATTTTAGACGACAAACAACTCTAAATAGTGTCGAAAATGAGAGAATTTTTCTTTTGAAGAGTATGGGACAAACTGTCCACAAAGAGCACACTCGTGATTCACTTCTCGATGACCTACCTCAGGATTCCACTCTCATGACCCAACAAATGCTGCACGCACGGTTATTAACCGAATGTAACATCATACTCGTTGAAATGTGAAGTTGGTCGCGTTCGTTTGAATCCGTGGCAATGAACACAATTATCCTGCTATGTACACTCTCATTCTAGGAACGTGACATTACATTGAAACGAACGTGACAAAATGTCACGTTCTTTCCAGCATTTTATCACTTTTTTTTACTGTGAATAAGCAAATTCTTGGCTCATTCACGTCCAAACGAACGTGACACAATGCTGGAAGGAACGTGACGTTTTGTCACGCTCGTTTCAACGTAACGTCACGTTCCTGAGATGAGAGTGCATTGAACACTTATCTATCTAACCAGTCGGTCCGACGTGTTTGACTGAGGGCACGTGAGTGGACCCATGGAGTGACACCACCTGACCAAGTCCACTTTGCAGCATGTGGAACTGCCGTTGAGTTGACACATATAATGCTTTTTCATTTTCTTAAAATTTGCAGACTTTTGCAATGTGGTCACGCATATTTTGTGACAGCACAGAGATTCATCCGTTGCAGTAGCTCGTAATTTTTGAAAAGAACACATCCAGCAGAGCCTGCCAAGCGCAATACCCAATTTGGTAATTTTATTAACAAGCATAAAATTCATTTTATCTGATAATGGAAGGAACAATTCAAGCAAATATTATGAGTGATAAAATTATACTGAAAAAGATGTGTGCTTAAATCACAATACTCGATGAGCTTTCTAGGTAGTTGAAGCGGAGTGGAAGATACTTTCGAGTTAAACTTACATCTCTCTCTCTCTCTCTCTCTCTCTCTCTCTCTCTCTCTCACACACACACACACACATTTTCTGGTCCTGCTTAAAATAATTCAAGACCTTTCAGCAAATAAATGATAATGGTTTATACCAGATTGTGCGGGCTTTAAACACACATCTGCAGCTGACAATATGAACACTTCCTGAGCGTGGGGCACCTCCAGACACGCGGCATCTCCAGGCATTTTCCCTTTCGTTGGGAAACTGCTCATGCATCTCGAAATTCGACCCAACCGATGAAGATAAACCGCGTCCGGCAATGGGGCCCGGAAAAATTGTACAAATTTGCAGCCCCTCAAAAAAGGAGCCAAAGATACTATATTTTCAGACCGCAGAGCAATCACCCCTTTCGATCGTGTCGTCGCGCCGCTTCATGCGATACGCTGGTAAAACTAAAGCGTAGTATGACCCTCTGTCTTCAAGCGTAATCAGTTTACGCTTGAAACAAACCGTAGCAGGCTTATCCGCCTAGATTTCCCCTATTTAAATGCTTGGACAAATTTCCAGAGTACACTCTAAATGTCTTACAAAGAAATTTCCCATAAGGAAATGGTGCAAGCATAATACGAAGGTGGTTTTCCTTCGTATTACGAAGGTTTTACTTTGTAACTTACAATGAAAAGCTAAAAAGATTCGTATTACGAAGGAATATTGTTTCGTATTATGCTTGCGCCGAATTCACTGTAACATACGAATAACACAGGTCAAATTTCATTGTAAGACATTTAGAGTGTATGGTTCATTTCAAGCGTAACGTCTTCAAGCGCATCTCTATGCTTGACTCAAGCCTAGAATTACGCTTTAGTTTTACCAGTGTATTTCTCGATATTTCAGTCTTTCGACATTGCATCTCCGGGCGATCACTGCTTCTCTCCAAACTGAAGTGTGTACATGGCATGCTGCAAACAGAGTGGGACGACTTTGCGTCAAAGTAAAGCGACACAAAGAGTCTCACTAAGTTTCTGTCAGACCTGAAAGTCCGGCCAATTTTTGGACAGACAAAAAAACATTTTTGGCCGCGGTGCATACCTAAGCACCACGTGGAGTGAACATGCCAAGCATGCTCCAGGATGGAGTGTATCCGCCCGGTATGTTTCAACCTTAAGCATGTAATGTGCACACTTGTTTGTACAGTATGCCATGCCACTTAATTGATCAAGCGGAGTACCATGATGACTGGAAAAGATGTCGCTAAGACATTCTGCAAATATGTCGTTGAAAAATAAAAATGACAGACTTCCGGACGAAAGGTACGAAAAGTGTTAAGGGGTGCCCCACTCTAAACCTTGAATACGTTCCCTCATGAGCTTACAAAAATTATAAAAACATAAGTTTATGTTTGCCTTCCTGTTTGTTTCTCTGGCTCTCATGATTCATCTCGTTCTCGGAAGGGAAGCTGAGGTAAAGGGAACAAGATGAAATAGCATTGTTGCGCAGCACCAAACAAAAATACAACTTGGCCTCGAAAATTGTAAAATATCAGCAGCCTAAACTACGAATGTACATAAATCTAATAATTTACAAAGTACTGTGTAATTTATAAAAAGTGAAAACACAGTTGAGATGAGCACTTGAGCTTGCCATGTCAGTGATGACAAGATAGAAAATAACTTGTTACTTCCCCGTTCTATACGCACCATTACCTAATTCTTTTGATATATTTTGCACCAAACTGTCCCCTTTGCGGAGGTAATCCTGAGAACGAAGCACACTGGTAAAACTAAAGCGTAACACTATGCTTGAGTCAAGCATAAAGTTACGCTTGAAGACGCTACGCTTGAAATGAAGCATACTCTGGAAATTCCCCCATGCATTTAGATAGTGGGGATCTTGGCGGATGAGCCTGTTACGCTTGGTTTCAAGCGTAAACTGATGACGCTTGAAAACAGAGGGTAATACTACGCTTTAGTTTTACCAGTGCATATTTGATATTTCCATTTTGAAGGAGCAGACGTTCTTCGAGGCTTGAATTTTGAGCTTGCCTTTCCACTCTTAGGTGGGTTAATGATAAAGGGAATGTTGATTGAAACAAACAGTTCACTCAAAGTCTAAAGTTTCTTCTCACACATCTTCGTTCATTAAAACATCTGGCTTTAATAAGTCCATTTTTGAAGACGGAATTATCATACTACCACTCATTTCATCGTCTTGAGTATCCATTCTTGTCAGGTCGTTAGAAGACACTGCGGGGGACATAGGTGTCACTATTATTTCTGTGCCAGCTGCTGCAGAGCGTAGCAATGCCGTGTCCTCGCTGGCACCTAGAGAGTCTTCATTATCGTTGTCGTCACCATAACGACTGTAATCTTCCCAGGGAGGTGTAGAAGAGGTGCTCTCTCGCCCTGGAAGTAACAAAGCAGATTAGTTACTGATCTTAGCCTGACCTGAGGAAGTCCCGAGTACATTGTTGAAATAGGGGTCTGTTTTTCGTTCATGCATCGCCGGAACTGTCCGTTAATGTTCCGTGATTTGGGACCCTGAATTTCCCGCAGTTTGAAGCCAGAGAGTTTAGGACTTCACACAGGACTTCGAGAAACAATCAGTTCGTTAGAGATTGGTCACAGTGAGTTTTCAAAATCGTCCGAATCAAATTTGCTTTTTAAAAATAAAATTTCAGCTTCGAAATTTCAAAGAGGCACTCTCATTCCAGGCACGTGATATCACGTTCAAAGGAATGTGAAAAATGTCACGTTCAATGTGAGCACTGTGTCACATTCGTTTGAATAAGCTAATTTGTGGTTGATTCACATCGGAACGAATGTGACACAATGCTCAAATGAACGTGACATATGTTTACATTTTGTGTCTGTTTTAATGGGGAAAAAACAATTTATGTAAAGCAAAGTTGATTTGGACGATTTGGGAAATTGATTGTGACGAATCTGCACACTGTGCGAAAAAAAACACAGTGACTTTTTGCCAAGATTTACTGTAGTTCAGAATACGGGATTTACCGTGCCCGGCTACAGTAGTTACTGTAGTTTGTACAGAATATTCCGTATTCTTCGGCACAGTAAATCCCGTACTCTTAACTACAGAGTCAGCTGCACTAATCGTTACAGGATTTGCTGTGGTTTTTTTCGCACAGTGCAACAGACCGTTTCTCAAAGCCCCGTGTAAGGTACCGGAAGCTTCACCAAGAAAACAACGGCAAAATCCTGGATCTGAAAATTCCAGTCCACAAAGCACGGAAAGCTCTGGCAATTAATTAACGGTGGAAACGTCCTTCTTTACTACAGCTTGGACCCCCGTCAAATTGCTTGCTTCAGCTTCGATCGGGGGTGTAAAAAAACCAATTAGTTCCAAATACCCAATCATCACTCGGGAAAAGTTTATATATGAGACGCCTGCGAATAGCCGCAGGAAGCTTACTTCAGACCTTCTCAGGCGTTGTTTCGCACTGTCCAAGAGCATCCTACTAATTTTGCAGGCATGTAATATGGAGCCGAGCATGTATTCTCCTAATAGAGGTGCAGCATCCTTAATTTCGTGGAAGCACAATTTCTTTTGAACGTGCCTTCTACAGGTCCATTTCAAGTGTCCATGCATAGTAAGGGAGGGTGGGGCACATAGCGACACGGGGCAGTTACTGGCACTTGCAAAGTCTCATAGATTCCGTCATGCCACTGAGACATCCCGTTGCACATAGATAGTCGGTGTTCATCGTAGTTGGGCTGCTGAGAAAACTCTAGAGTTTTAAGGAAGATGTACCATCTAATGAAGGCCAAAGTTTGATACCCCCCGTAGCCCGAAACCTAAAACTCATCTTTCATTTTGGAGCCGTAGAACGTTGACAGGGTACGGGCTTTGACTAATCGATCATTGTTGTCGATTAGTCTATGATTTTCATTTCAATGTCGCGGCCAAACATTTCAAGAATATTGATTCTACTTTGAACTGTACTGGATCAAATGAAAAATGGGTGCCTGGGGCTTTTACCGACAAAGCCATATCAAGATGATTTGGTCCAATTTAAGTTCACATTAAAGTACTTAACTTGAAATAAATGATTTGAGAAGCCTTGATTAGAACACTCTTATTCCAGGAACGTGATGTCACGTTGAAACGAACGTGACAAAATGTCACGTTCGTTTAAGCATTGTGTCACATTCGTTTGGGTGTGAATCGGCCAAAAATCAGCTTGTTCACATAGAAACGAATGTGACACAATGCTCAAACGAACGTGACATTTTGTCACGTTCGTTTCAACGTGACGTCACGTCCCTGGAATGAGAGTGCATACGGGGCGTAAAAATAGGTAAAAACCAGAAAACCTCAAAAACTGGAGAAACCGTTCAAAAAGTTCCTCCGCGTCCGTGACAAAATGTCACGTTCGTTTAAGCATTGTTTCACATTCGTTTGGGTGTGAATCGGCCAAAAATCAGCTTGTTCACATAGAAACGAATGTGACACAATGCTCAAACGAACGTGACATTTTGTCACGTTCGTTTCAACGTGACGTCACGTCCCTGGAATGAGAGTGCATACGGGGCGTAAAAATAGGTAAAAACCAGAAAACCTCAAAAACTGGAGAAACCGTTCAAAAAGTTCCTCCGCGTCAAATCGTACATCTGAAAGTTTCAGAACTGGTCAAGGTGATGGCCTAGGCCTAAAAGAAACATAATTTCACATCGAGACTAAACCTACGGTGGACTTATAGCGAGTGTCAATAACTGCCCCGGGGAGGGACACTAGCTGACATTGCAAGCTTTATTTTGACCGCAAATCTAGGGTGTATTTTGACTTTTGACCAAATATACGCCCAGGCCTTCGTAAAGTAGAAGGTTCAAAGACACTTGTAGGCTGAAGCGGATTCCTTGAACTTATTTTCCTGGCTCCTGAGAGGCGCCGAAAGAAGCGTCAACATGTGCCTGTGCCCCACTCTCCCTTGGAAGGAATATCATGCGTCTGAAAGTCTCAGGACGGAGAGTAACTACTATCACAAAAGTTTCCACAAATGAGGCCATGTCACCAGGAAGACAGTCAATTCGTCTTCCGATCAATATGCGTAACGATATAATGCATGCTTGTTAAATATGACGTACAGAATTAACATTCTGAGACTAGCCCCTCATGTTCATTTTCTTTCGTTTGCATTTTCGCCTAATGCTCTTTTCATTCTCATCGAGTGAATATGAGTCTAAGGCGAACCAGCATAAGAAAGTTTGCATTCAAACACCAATACAGGAAGGAAGCTAGAAAGAAACACTACTTAACAGATTTGGAAAAATCATCTTGCGTGAAGTATTAAGGGAGTAAGGGGTGACTCCAAAGTAAAGCCCGTATCAGGTCAAAAACAGAAAACACCAATAGCAGAACAGGAAGAATTACTTAACTAAGGGAACAGGGGCCCAGCTCTGCTCATGAACCTTTACAGATAATGCTTTCTTTGACACAACCATATGACTTTTGGGATAAAACAAAATGCAACAGGAACGTTTTCGAAGTATCATTTCCATTTTCTAAATAGAAAGTTGTTGATTGCACTTTCTCAGAAAGCAAGTCAAATAGTTTAAGAAACGAACACGAGCTGGGCTCCGACAGGAGGCAGGGTATGTCCAATGAACAGCCAGCAAAATTCAAAGTATCCATCAAAGTGCACCTGAGTTGGTTCAACCAGCCTCAGCGGCTTGACCTGGCCGCCTTTAAGGGCTCTAGACCCAACCAGGCTGGCATCATAATGAAGTGGACGAGGAGAAATCATCATATGCAGCTGGAAACAAATAAATTTATGTGCCAACGGACAAGCTTAGGATTTGATTACTGTTTCATGCAACAAATTGATTATTTATATGTTCTCTCCCTGAACAAAAAACTAAGTGAGTATACCATTAAGTCAGTGTACTGTTGTGGGATGGCTAGACAAGGTTGGCCCAAATAATTGCTCATTTGCTGAGTTTGCAGAATATGTACAACGTGACAACTCTGGGGCGCGATGGAATCCACGAAAGTCTTCTAGTGTCTCGGATTACTTGGAAAACAGCATGACTATTCCAAATGTAATAAATTAATGCAAATGAACTTTGGAAATGGACGAAAGTTTTGGTTTTTTTGTGGGTGGATTTTAGCGTGCGTGGGGGTTTAGGTTGAGATATTCCCACCACCATAAACCTATAATTATCTATTATCTGTATCTCTGATGCTAATGTTCCGTCATTGCCGTTTATTAATTGCCATGACGCGAACAAAACGGAGCGTCCATTTTCATTGAGGGAACCTTTCTGAACTGGTGCCGAAGGAAGAAGCAAATCTGCCCCGTACTGAGCTGGATTGTTCCAATTCCAGACAAAACGTCTTGAAACATCTGACCGTTTGTATAATTATCTTGCTACAAACCTGTGTTCATAGATAGCTAGGCCCAAAAGTACCAGTACGTCTTAGATGAATTAATCCCATTCAAGTTATGCATTTATTTAGAGCTGAAAATAGACTGAGAAGCAGCATAATTGTCAGGAGGAAATCTGGTCACACCTGGCACAAAAATCTACGTATATTTTAAACAAACTACATAAGGCAAATAATCCAATCACAAACGTCACACTTCGACTAATGCTATAGATTCATAGATGAAGTGAGTAAAACTGTACTATGAACCTCCGGTTTTAAGTGTACCAAGTGACTCGTCACCAGGAAGACAGTCAATTCGCCTTCCGTTATTATAATGTCGTTCATTTGACATCATGGTGACCGTTCTTTGATCCTTGGGGTTGGACCCTCTTTGAAAATGTCTGAACCTGCACCTCCCTTGAAGTATCATTATAGCGACCCACCTATGCTGCCCGCAGTGCGCGGCGGACTCGCCCTCTGCTCCGCCTCGTCCTGGCTCGGCACCACGATCACGACGTCGCCCTTGACGCTGCCGCCGCGGTCCAACGATGGTATGGAGCTGCAACAGGGAGAGCACAGTGGAGTAGCTCGCGGCCAACTAGGACGTGCTTACAATAATAAAGATTTTGGGCGCATATTACTCGTTATCAGATTGAGATAAAAAGAGTTTTGCACACCTCACTCAACTGTGAAAAAAGAGAACAGAACAAGCTAGGGCCCGCCCTTCCGTCGAACCGAGTTGCCAGCTCCGCTTTGCTGCGCCGGCAACTCGGTTCGACAGGGGGCCGGCCCAGCTTGGCCTGCCGGCGGCCTTTTCTCGGGCCTTCGGCCCTCGCATCAAACCCAACTTGGCCATTCGAAGGCCCGGGCCTTCGGCCCGCTCGCATCACACACACCGTGAGCGGGTAAAGCAAAGTTATCGATGTACCATCGTGACTTAGGCCCGCCCTTCTATTCACAATATGCAATAGTCCTTACACTTTTTACTCCAACTGTCCTTAGAATATGCCCGTTTCATTTGTCTCTTCACCCTCATTCCGAAAATACCCATATTTGCCATGCTACTGCAACTCCTTGCAATAGAGGCACAGCAGGAGCGCAAAACGAGTCCGTCGCACTTTTTCATATAACTCATGAAGGTGGGCTCCTGGACCCCCTTCCGACCCCTCGTTGAAGAGGTCTTGCCAAGACCTATCCAAAACTTAAGTAAAAATTTTCAGTCGGTCGACCCCCTTTTTTCAAGATCCTGATGTGACTAATAGACGAAGTCGGGCTCCTGGACCCCCTTTCCGACCCCTCGTTGAAAAGGTCTTGCTGAGACCAATCGAAATCTGCAATAAATTTTTTAGTCGGTCGACCCCCGGTTTTGAAGATCCTGATCTGGCCAACTTGTAAAAGCGGCCGATGGGGTCGGGACCAGGTCCATTCATCTTGTCTCGTCGCCCCGATTCCAAAAATACCCCTATGTGCCCTGCTAGCACCAATAATGGCGGAAATCCCCCTCCCGCTCATGTAAACCATGATGCACCTGCAGCAGCCCTTGTGCGACCCGGACGGGATTTGCACCACCGGATTATTTGTTGGGACGGTACTCCTGAAAAATCCTCCAAATCTGGTTACTCTAGCTCAACTCCTTCCTTGTACACAGACGCCAACAACACCAACGACACAAAGGCAAATGCATAGGCCCTCCCCCTATTTTTTGAATAGAAGGGCGGGCCAAAAAGTACGGAATATGTCTGGTCAATAATTCGCCTGGAACGCCGCACCTTTCCTACTACAGAACTTCTGTATTTTTCCGTAACCGATTGAGTTCCTATGGGACGAGTACAGACGTTCCGTACTTTTTTCCGTGCTTCCGTACTGTATTTGTGTGTACATTTTTCGCGGAAAAGTACGGAATTTTTTACAGTTCTTCCTAAAGCTTTACAAGTAATTTGGTGCTTACAAAGCCCCTACAATTGCCCTCACCCCCTAAATAGAAGGTAGGAAAAAAAATTTCATTCAACGAACGTTAATGAAAGCAGATGATACTCGTTTGGTTTTCTTCTAGGTAGTTGTTCGGGATTAATTGTGTAAGAAATAAAATAGATAGCCCAATAAATAGACCTAAGCGAGCTGGGAGCTGGCCAGTGGTGCGAGCCGAGCTGAGGTTTGCGCTTGCATCCGCTTGCACCCTGCACCGATGCGCCGCGCCCCGAGCTATGCCGAGCCTTGAGGCATTGTTGCTGTTCTGTGCGCTGTACCCGGGGAGGGACTGTGCGAGAGGAGGCAGGGTATTGTTGGCCGGTGCCGCTCGCGCTGTACCTGGGAGGGATTGTCGATGTTCCGCGCAGACTGCCTGCCATGCGACACTCACGATCCCGCCCGGCAGCCACCACCCTAATATTATTGTTAGGATACCGCTTGATTTCTGGATTTGGGAGTAAAAGCACGCTGACACCTTTATGTGTCTAATAGTTTTAGATATGTTTCAAGTGTAGTAAAGCTACAAGGTAGGTTTACGCCAGACCGCGTCTTGTCGTAACAGGCTTCGCGATGTCTCGCTGCCTGTTCCTCCAATCCACGCCTGGCGTACCTACCTTGGCCTGCGGCGCTAGCCTGCCTGCGGCAGGCAATGGCTTGTACGTTGTCGGTTATTTTTTAACTTGTTGAAGGCTGGGGGGCTCCGCCCCCCAGACCCCCCTGCATTTTAAATAGAGTTGTTTTATCTACAGATAACACGATCTTGACCCTTGTCACTTTTTAACTTGTCGAGGCTGGGGGGCGGAGCCCCCCAGACCCCCCTTTCTCCAAGACAGAAGTGGTCTATCTGCAGAAATCTCTATTTTTCGCCGTTTTTTAGGTGTTTTTCGCCTATAAAAACTGAACCAGTTGAGCTAGGATGATGAAATTTCGCGTGTGCCGAGCCAAGGACATACCCAAGAAGTGTGCAAAATCTCACCGAGATCGGCCGAGCCGTTCAGGAGGAGTAGTGCGGACAGACACACAGACAGACAGACAGACAGACAGACAGACAGGAAAAACTTTTCAACCGCACCCGAGTAACAGGCTTCGCTATCGCTCAGCCAATCATCTGCTAAAAAGCACGCTGACACCTTTATGTGTCTAATAGTTTTTGGCTGAGCGATAGCGAAGCCTGTTACTCCAGTGCGGTTGAAAAGTTTTGTCTGTCTGTCTGTCTGTCTGTGTGTGTTTCTGTGTGTGTGTGTGTGTACACTACTCCTCCTGAACGGCTCGGCCGATCTGGCTGAGATTTTGCAGGCTTATTAGGTATGTTCTTGGCTCGGCACACGCGAAATTTCACTATATTAGCTCAACTGGTTCAGCTTTTATAGCCGAAAAACACCTAAAAAACGGCGAAAAATCGAGTTTTCTGCAGGCAGATCACTTCTGTCGTGAAGGAAGGGGGGTCTGGGGGGCGGAGCCCCCCAGCCTCAACAAGTTAATAAGTTACAAGGGTCAAGATCGTGTTATCTGTAGATGAAGCAACTCTATATATAATGGAGGGGGGTCTGGGGGGTGGAGCCCCCCAGGATGCAACAAGTAACCGCCGACGGACAAGCCAATGCCTGCCGAAGGCAGGCTAGCGCCGCAGGCCAAGGTGGGTACGCCAGGCGCGGATTGGAGAAACAGGCCGCGAGACATCGCGAAGCCTGTTACGACAAGACGCTGTCTGGCGTAAACCTACCTTGTAGATATGTTTCAAGTGTAGTAAAGCTATCATCTGCTAAAAAGCAACTTTCTACCGCTGTGACTCTCCTCCCTATGCGGCCGACTCTGGACCCACCACTGGAAAAGAAGCTTGTTATAACGAAGGATTTTGTGCATAAATAAACTTTAAACTCAGAATTTTTATAGGTTTACCTGAAATTTCCTCGTTAACAAACGAAATAGTTCGTCCCCTGCATATGCTCAAAACACTTGCTTGGCAGGTTGTAAGCGAGATTTTTTGAAAAGTTAGTTATCCCTTGTGCAACCTTAATTTTATCTCCACCCACGAGATACACGCACCCAAAATCTCAGTAACGCAAGCACACCCTGCTCCAGACTCCTTGCCCCGAGGCCCTGCGCCGCGCTACCCCACGCCTCGACAGCCTGGAACGTCGCGGAGTGAAGGCGGCTGCGAGGTTGGAGCGAGGATCGCGCATCGCTACGCTACCCTTAGCTGCGAGGCCCACCCCAGACAAAAAGATTTCGCGCCCGTTACGGGCACAGCCCGGGCAAATCTGGGCACAGCACGGGCGTGTACGGGCTCAGCACGGGCTCAGCACGGGCACAGCACGGGCACAGCACGGGCAAGTACGGGCGCACCATCCGAAGGCGGGCCGAGGCTCGAACCCGCATGGGGGTAAATGCGGGCAAGTACGGGCAAGGGCGGGCAAGTGCGGGCAAGTGCGGGCAGATGCGGGCAGACGCGGGCAGGCACGGGCAAATGCGGGCAGATGCGCACTTTAGACTTGGTCCTGAAAGATTCAGGACCGTAACTCGTCCCTGAGGTAGCCGGACACCCGTTTCCAGGACGGGAGTGGTGAAATTCAACCAGTTTGCCGTTTGGTCCTGGAAACGGGTGTCATTGGCGACGTTTGTCACCCGTTTCCAGGACGGTTCGGAATGTTTGGGGCTCTCGGTCCTGGAAACGAGTCTCGGCGGGCCCAAGACGCCGAAGTAAGACCAGTTCGCACCTGGTAGCTTGCACACTGAACTACATAGTACCGCTGGGCAATGATGCGCCATTCCCGCAGTGCGTTTTATGGAAAAAAACGGCAGCAAAAAATGGCAATACGAAAGTCTCAAGGGACCCGCCGATCAGCTTCGGTGTTCTTATGGGAACCGGGCTTTCATCCGACGCATCCCTGCCGCGCAATTCGACAGATTAGTGGAGTTCGTATTGGGCTGGCCCACCCGAAGTGCGCGCGGTTTCTGTGGTACAGTGAGAGTCCAGATTCAGAGGCCTTACCTCAGAGGGGTCACATTGGGTATTTGAACCCGCGACCCCGAGTGCCGAGTCTAGTCAACTCCTCTACCCTGACCGCTCAGCCACCGAACCAGCTTGTCGGCGGCGATGTCGCAACTCCTCTTGAGCTGCCGTTCGAGAAATCTGGTCCCGAAAAAAGGGTACCTGGAGCGGTCTCGAACCCGGGACCTGCCGCTTCCCACATCATGCTCTTAACCACTGAGCCACCGGGACGCCATGGCACCCGCCCTGCCTGCGCAGGTACCCAATCTTCTGTGGATATACCTCCCCAAGCAATTGGTCGCCGAAAAAATTGTGTATAGTACCGGTCCCGAACCCGGGACCTCCCGCTTCCCGCGACATGCTCTTAACCACTGAGCCACCGGGACGCCATGGCACCCGCCCTGCTTGCGCAGGTACCCAATCTTCTCTGAATATACCCCCCCAAGCAATTGGTCGCCGAAAAAATTGTGTATACTACCGGTCCCGAACCCGGGACCTGCCGCTTCCCACATCATGCTCTTTACCACTGAGCTACCGGAGGATCATGGTGCTCGCTCTGCCAGCGCTGGTACTCAATCCTCTCAGGATAGACCTCCTCAAGAAGTTTGTTGCCGTTGCCGAAAAATTTGCTCATGGCACTTGTCTCGAACCCGAGACCTGCTTGTCAGGAACGCAGCGTTCTAACCGCTGCGCCACCAGTTTACTATGAGCGCCGCTGTCCTAGCGCCGAACTTATAATTTGTCCAGCATCAAGCAAGATGGGTGGCTATTCAAGTTTGGCGCTAGGTGGGTGGCGTGCATAGCTAACTGATGGCGCAGTGGTTAGAGTGCTCCGTTCCTGACTGGCAGGTCTCCGGTTCGAGACTAGTGCCATGAGCAAGTTTTTCGGCAACGGCAACAAACTTCTTGAGGAGGTCTATCCTGAGAGGATTGAGTACCAGCGCTGGCAGAGCGAGCACCATGATTCCTCCGGTAGCTCAGTGGTAAAGAGCATGATGTGGGAAGCGGCAGGTCCCGGGTTCGGGACCGGTAGTATACACAATTTTTTCGGCGACCAATTGCTTGGGGGGGTATATTCAGAGAAGATTGGGTACCTGCGCAGGCAGGGCGGTTGCTATGGCGTCCCGGTGGCTCAGTGGTTAAGAGCATGTCGCGGGAAGCGGGAGGTCCCGGGTTCGGGACCGGTACTATACACAATTTTTTCGGCGACCAATTGCTTGGGGAGGTATATCCACAGAAGATTGGGTACCTGCGCAGGCAGGGCGGGTGCCATGGCGTCCCGGTGGCTCAGTGGTTAAGAGCATGATGTGGGAAGCGGCAGGTCCCGGGTTCGAGACCGCTCCAGATACCCTTTTTTCGGGACCAGATTTCTCGAACGGCAGCTCAAGAGGAGTTGCGACATCGCCGCCGACAAGCTGGTTCGGTGGCTGAGCGGTCAGGGTAGAGGAGTTGACTAGACTCGGCACTCGGGGTCGCGGGTTCAAATACCCAATGTGACCCCTCTGAGGTAAGGCCTCTGAATCTGGACTCTCACTGTACCACAGAAACCGCGCGCACTTCGGGTGGGCCAGCCCAATACGAACTCCACTAATCTGTCGAATTGCGCGGCAGGGATGCGTCGGATGAAGGCCCGGTTCCCATAAGAACACCGAAGCTGATCGGCGGGTCTCCTTGAGACTTTCGTATTGCCACTTTTTGCTGCCGATTTTTTCCATGAAACGCACTGCGGGAATGGCGCATCATTGCCCAGCGGTACTATGTAGTTCAGTGTGCAAGCTACCAGGTGCGAACTGGTCTTACTTCGGCGTCTTGGGCCCGCCGAGACTCGTTTCCAGGACCGAGAGCCCCAAACATTCCGAACCGTCCTGGAAACGGGTGACAAACGTCGCCAATGACACCCGTTTCCAGGACCAAACGGCAAACTGGTTGAATTTCGCCACTCCCGTCGTGGAAACGGGTGTCCGGCTACCTCAGGGACGCGTTACGGTCCTGAATCTTTCAGGACCAAGTCTAACCGTGCGGGCAGACACGGGCACATACGGGCAGATGCGGATGCATCCGGAGCGCCTTGATGTTTGTGCCCAGGACCCATTCGTGGACGAGCTCGAAAAAGGTAAACACGAGTAATCGAAGCCTGGAGCAGGTGCTGCATGCCTGGAAGCTAACTATCTCGTGCCAGGTGAGCATGGAGGTAGTTTGGGCCTAAGCTACCGCCTAAGCTACGGTGATAGACGAGCCCCGTATCACCCTGTAGCTTAGGCAACCCAAACTACTTCCATGCTCATCCGGCACGAGATGGTCCCCATAGCTTCCATGCATGTAGAACTGCTCCAGGCTTCGATTACTCTTGTTTAGCTTTTCCGAGCTCGTCCAAGAATGGGTCTCGGGCCAAGGGGTTACCCACTCTGGTAATCGTGTGTACACTTCGTCCAGTAATCATTGGTAATCACACACCAAAACTGGCTAGTTTCGCCGTTTTTATCGGATTTTGGGGGTTTTTCTTATGAAATTAGGCCAAAATGCTCTTAGCTGGCCAAAATTATGGAATTTTTTATGGTATTTTTGTAGGTTATCACTGGTAATCAGTAATCCTGTGTACACTCCTGAGCTGAGTGGTCAACCCCTTGTCTCGGGCACAAACCTCAAGGCGCTCCGGATGCAGACTCATCTGCCCGTATGTGCCCGTATGTGCTCGTGTCTGCCCGTGTCTGCCCGCATCTGCCCGCGCCTGCCCGCACCTGCCCGTACTTTCTCGTACTTGACCGTACTTGCCCGTACTTGCCCGTACTTGCCCGTACTTTCCCGTACTTGACCGTACTTGCCCGTACTTGCCCGTACTTGCCCGCACTTGCCCGTACTTGCCCGCATTTACCCCCATGCGGGTTCGAGCCTCGGCCCGCCTTCGGATGATGCGCCCGTACCTGCCCGTGCTGTGCCCGTGCTGTGCCCGTGCTGTGCCCGTGCTGAGCCCGTGCTGAGCCCGGACACGCCCGTGCTGTGCCCAGATTTGCTCGGGCTGTGCCCGTAAAGGGCGCGAAATCTTTTTGTCTTGGGCAGCGCCACGATACACCCCACGCAGCGATACCCCGCGATGCGATACGCCCCGCGCCGCGATACCCCGCGCCCCGTTGCGGCGTATCGACGGACTGGGGGACTGGGCCTGCAAGGCCTGTTGCTTCGCGTCGATGCTGGCGCGGATCCAGAAGGGGAAGGGGGGGGATGGGAGGGAAGCCGCCTGAAAGGTTGGTCCACCTAGCGCCTGTTGGTGGGCAACCACCGGAACCCTTCTCTGGATCAACCCTTGCGTCGATGGTGGCGATTATCTCCGAGAAACTCACTGCAGAGTCACTTTTTTCTTGCGCAGGCTCAGGTCAGAGGACTCCCGCACGAGCGCCCGCGCCGGTGTGGTCCCCCTGGAGGTTCCGAGTGGGAGGTAACCCGGCCCGCAGCCAGGGCCGTAGGCGGTGTACTGGCCGTTGGACGAGTGCCCCTGCTGCTGGGCCAGGGCCCGCGCCGACGGCGGCGAGTCGCCGAAGAGCTTGTCCACAGGCGTGGCGGGCTCGGACGCGTTGTACCCGGACCGCTGGAAGTTGCGGATGTGGTTGGCGGCGTGGTGGTGGTGGGCGTGCGTGGGCGGCGTGGACGGCAGCGACGCAATGGACGGCGTGTCCCCGGAGCCGGGCGGCAGAGGCAGCGCCTGCAGCCGCTTGCGGTCCTCGGAGTACATCTCGATCAGCTCAGTGAGCTTGGCCTCGATGTCGTCCACCTGGAAAGGGATCAGGGCCGAGTTTGAGGGGCAGTAACTTACTGGGGGTCACGCAAAAATAGCAAAATGGATTCACTACATGTCATAGCATATTTTTGCACTGGTTAAACTAAAGCGTAGTAGTGAAGCTTTCAGTCTGTGCCCTTCTTGAAGCGAACCAAAGCTCATGCGCTCCTTTCCTCCTTGCATGGGGGAATCACCTTGAACCGTAGTTGTGCGCTTCAAGAAGGTCGTAAAGTTTTAAAGCACAGTTCTCTGCTTGAAGCGTAGAACTACGCTTTAGCTTTACCGAAGTGTTGCTCCCCCATTTATGAAATGTGAAGCACACCCGACATTGCAGCCCTGCGATACATGTTTTACGACGCCAACTTCAATTCGCAATATCAGTGGACGATTTGTGTATTCTCGGGGACACCAAATTGCATGTGCATGTCCTAACAACGGAAGGACTTGGAACAAAGGAGGAAAGAAAGTCCCACGTTATTCAGTGTGTGCGGTTTCGAAAAACAAAGTGCTGCCGAATTTCCCGGGTGGAATTTAATTAGTATAATTGATAAAATTCAGTTTTTGTTTTTCTGAATCAAAAGGATAAAAAAAGGTATTTTATGTTTTTAACAAACTATATCCTTGGAAGAGAGTCAAAATTTCCTACAAATTTTCTGAGACCTTGATATAACTAACATGCTTTGAATGTCAAATGGAAATAGTTAGATGCACCAGCTGGAACTGTGAAGTCGTTGGGAAGAAACAAAATAGTTAGGCGAGAGTCTTTATCTTTTAAGCGTAAACGTAAGTTCTCTTCTGATGACGGAATGCTGGTTTGGTTTAATATGTCACACTTGTGATAGTTGGCGTTCTTTTATGCCCAGGAGACTGAGTGGGGAATATTGTTCGCCAAATCCTCTCTTAATTATATAAAAACGGAAACTGAAAATTACTTACCTGTCTTTCTACTTTTACCACTCTTGAAGCTAAACTAATTTTTGAAGCATAAACATCTTTCGCTTTGGAACCCTGTCTCCCAAGAATTTGGTCTAGTCTGCAACGAGAAAAGGGTTTTGTCAAATTTTATCAGGGTAAATTTAGATTGTATCTCAAACCTTGTCACGACTGCACATGTTACATGCATGCATGACATTTCACTCAAATACTTTTGAGTCTTATAAAAAAGTTGTTAAAAAGAAATTCAATACAACAGCGGTAAAAGACAGTAAAGACACTTCCGTCTCATGTATCGTAACTAAAAAGATGCCACTCGCTAGGAATCTTTAAGACCAGCTAACGCATATTTCCTATTGCAAAATTTGAAAATTCTTTCAATTATGCTGCCTTTATGCAGTACGTAGAAAGAAGCCTTCGTCAATTTCTCTGTTACTCTTACAGCTACTTTACTTCCAACGAAATTTAAAAGTTAGCAAACTAGCGGCTCAGTGCAGAAGTTAATTTCGTACTTTAGTATTAGTTGTGCTGAAAGCCAATAGTACAAGCCACACATGCAAGACGACTGTGCCGTTTAATCTAATTTTTACAAAATTCTACTATTTGGCAGAATAAAAGAGAAGCACTCTCCATCCTATTAGAGTAAAGCGAATCTTATACAGGGTGAGTTTTCTCAATGTGTCATTAATTTGTAGGAAGCTTGGGCACCCCAAGGCGATCATTTTCTACCAATGAACTAGTGGGCGCAAACGTCTAAGTACGGAGATAATTGGTGTTTTGTAATTGGCCTTCGCGCCTGCGAGGTAGGCACCCTCAGTCACTGATGGTCGCAGGACCCCGCGTGGGGGTGTCGCGGGTCTAGGAGGGGTGCTTCGAGTCTCGCAGGGGTGCGGCGGACCTTGCAAATGTCTTTTGGGAGGGGTTGCCGCGGGTCTGAAGAGGCTGTCATGGTGGCCCCCGTTACAGTGGATCTCACGGCTGTCTTTGCGAGGGTGGCGGGATTCCTCAGATACTTCCGCGAGGTCAGTGGCACTCCCGCGAGTACTGCTAGTCCCGCGACACCTCCTCGACAGGTCCTGCCACCCTCAGTGGCACCGCCCAGTCCCAAAAACCCATGGAGCATCCCATGAGTCATGGGACGCCATGGGACACCATGGGCCGATTTTTCCCATGGGGAAGATATCCCATTGATTTTTTGCACCATTTCCCATGGTGTTGAGCAACTCATGGGGAGATGCCCCATGGTGTGTCCCATGGGAGCACTTCCTTGCCATGACAGAGTGTCTAGAAAGATCATTGTATGAAGTGCCTCCGTCTGCGAGGGTCATCACCCACATTAATGTCCGCTCAAGGTGAACTTTTCACGATGCAACCGATTTTGCAACTAGATTTTGTCTACAAGTCACCGTTGACATGATATTACCTAAACGTAAAAATTAGACGGAGACTTCAACGCACGGGCAGAAATTCCATCCCATGGGAATAGCGACGCCATGAGAAAGTTCACACCATGGAGAGGCCCTCCCATGGTGTTCATCCCGCGCCATGGGAAATCACCTCAATTTTCAATGGGAGGCCACTTACCCATGGTGCTGACCCGCGTTCTCATGGGATTTCAGTTAGGTCCCATGGAATATGACTCATGGGATCCCATGCGACCCATGGTTTTTTGGGACTGGGGGGTGCCTACCTCGTAGGCGCAAAATCCAATTACAAAACACCAATTATCTCCGTACCTAGACGTTTGCGCCCACTAGTTCATTGGCGAAAAATGGTCCCCTAGGGATGCCCAAACTGCCTGCAAATTATTGACACATTGAGGAAACTCACCCTGTACCATGAACAGTACACAAACATGATCAAAGTCACTTTATGAATAAAAATTTTTATGCTCTGACTAAACACTTATTCGACTTATCTTTAACAAAGAACAAACACCCCGCTAGTTAAAAGCATTCTCCCTTCAAGCTTTACCTGTAGTGAATATGTTTGGTCCGATTCAAGAGGTCCGCATGCCCCGATGAATACTGTTCGATTACATCCTTAACATCGTATGGTTTGAGCGCCTCTTTAAACTGCCTCCGAGCCACAAAATACTTCATCTAGAAGGAAGGCAGAAACCAAAGAAATAGATATAGGAAGAGGTGGTGGTCAGCCTGTAAATGACAGGGTAGGCAACCCGCTGGATGGGTTGTTCCGGCGGGTGGCCTACGTCGCGGTCCACAGGGGCTACAGTACCAACAAGGGAAAGATATGAAATCGTGTTACAGAGCTCGCCGCAAGTGATGTCACATCAAAAACGACAAGGTGATGGCAACGCCGTTGAAGCATTTGCCAAAGAACTGTACTTTTGGAAGAAAAAGAGAGATTTCCGAAAATTCGAAAGTTACATCGACCATTTCTGAAATATTTACCTCTTGTCACGGTTTTAGTTTTTAATTATTTGAATAAATTACAGGAAAAGTCAACTTGCGGAAGCCTGGGCGAGTTGAATTGCAGGAGGGACCAACAGCGACAGAGATAACCAACAGGGTACGAAGAAATGCAGTCAATGTTTTTAGCCAACATTCCAGTTGCTGTGATCGAGCAGAAGTTTAATGGTGTACTTGGCAGGACAGGGTGACAAGAAAGGAACAAGAATACATAGTGAATAATGTGTTGCTAGCACGCATGGCAAGGACCAGCAAGAAACTGTCAATAAACAGGGAATGCAAGGGAGAAATTGGGCCGCGCTTCGTAAGACCTCAATCGTCCACTCCGCGGCGAGGGGGTAACCACTCCAAGAAATCGTGTACAGAGTACTCGGTATTACGCTGTATTACAGGGATATTACACGTGTATTACTGCATGAAAAACCAAAAATTTGGCCAATAACGTGTATTACGCGTAATACACGGTTTTTGTGTACAGGGTATTACGCGAGTGTTTACCCCCTCGCTCCGCGGGCACGATGTGGGAAGAAACAGTTTCCTAGTGTGATGCTCCTTAGTAGTATGAGCACTGGAAGAGAATGATAGGGGACAACCTCTATAAAGATGAGCGTCTAAAAATATTTCAATAAAAACTAAATTTTGTTCCGAAAGCGTTCTAAATTCAGTTCCAGCTTTAGTTAAATTTAGAGAACAGTTTAAAATATATTTTTTTAAACTGGAGTGCATTAGAATCATACGATAGAACTGGTTGATTTAAATGTAATCAAAAAATCACCGTATTCCAAAACTTTGCCACGTTTTTCTGCTTAAAAGAAAAGTGATCCTTTAAGTTAAACCCTCGGTCAGAACCATACGTTATAAAATATTATATTCATGAAACTGTTAGTACTTAATAAGCGACGCATGCCGTTATGATTGTTTACTTGATTTAATTTTCTACATTGTAGTGTGATTGTCTACCAGTGTATAGAAATGTTAAGAGCATGTAAGAAAAGAAGCAGAGGAATTCATCTACTCTAATACATGTGAAGTACACGTATGCTCACACGGTTCAAGTGACATTAGTGGTTTGTGAAAAATACTCTGATAAGCTCATATTTTTCTAATCTCCAATTAATTGTCGTTTCCATTCATTCTAAGCTATTCCTCCGAAAGTACCACCACTAGAGAGTACCGAGGCAAGACCACCCGGATATGCTGTGGCTCGCGCATAGCGGTTAAGTTCGACACGAAGAGAAAAGTGGCATCAATTAAGTTTTGATCCATCTGTTGCATCGGGCGCGCAGTACACCGCTATGGCGACTTTTCCATGCGCACAAGAAGGAAGTGGCATTACCTACACGTGAATATCGAAAAAGATAGACCACTTTTTCTACCTCATTTGGACGTTTTTGACTCTGCCCAGGAGGTCGATGTGACCAGCAGAATACTGCTCTATGACGTCTTTTACGTCGTACGGCTTCAGGGCTTCTCTGAATTTTCGCCTCGCTACAAAGTACTTTATCTGAATAAAAGAAACAAGTGTTGGATCATTGAATTGAAGACTGCTTGGAGGGGCGTGACTTTGCCGGTGGCGACGTTTTGGAACTGACGCGAGGAGCACTGCGCACGGGACGATGCAGGTTCGGTCTGAGGCATCCTGAGGAACAACAAACGGCACACGGGGAAGGGGAGGCCGCTGCGGTGGCTCCTTACCTTGCGAATAGCTCTGATCGCACCCTTATGTTGGTTGGTCAGCTGCACAAACCGAGGCTCCTCGTCTTCGTCTGAAACCAGTCACAGAAAGTCCCTTAGATTGTTACCGCGAGGCTAGTAGCCGCGTCTCCGTTTCCATTTTTTTTAAATTCTGACATTTACAAAACTTTAAGGCTGCTTGAAATTTATTGACTAATTTCACAGACTTGGGGAACGATTAAAATGGCCCTTCGAATACATAACGTAGCCAGCTGTTTACGTCCTTCACTACGGCCAGAGCCCAATATTTGTGACATAACAGCTGTCTCATGATTACACAAAAAATAACCACACACAAATCCAAGCCTATTATGAAGCAAGCTAGTCCACACACTTCAGTCAACACAAAAATCGTGCAAATCAAAATACAACATGCTATTAAGAAGCCATAACCAGGATTTAACATGCCAGCGGGATAGGATTTAAGCAACCAGTCAAAATCTATTCACAATCGGCCATGCCTATTGGATGACAGAAATTATCAATGGCAATTTTTGTTGAGAGTGACCTAAAACTGCAAAGTTTAACTTCTCCGGCGAGCTCAAGCACTTTAAAGGAGAGAAATAATGCATTGTTGAATGGCCATTCAACCAGAGCTTTTGTTCCTCGAGCTTTGAATGCATAAAAAAAGCAAACTCGCATGATCACCAGAGTGACTCTGGAAGGTGAGTTCTTTTGGTTTGGGTGTAAAGAACCCGCTGAGTAGCTTAATAAAGTTGCATTTAAAAGATAACCTAACATGTAAATTTTTACATTATTTCCCTTTATTTGTACTGTTGGTATGCATGTTTTTTCCTCAATTTTGTAACACAAGGGAAAATTACCTTTTATTTTTGAAGGACGTGAGAATTACTAGAGTTAGAGAATTACTTAACCATCCTGTCTGCTCTGAAAACTCATGGTTGATTCTCTGAAACAGTCAACCTGAAGGTTGACATTTTTTTATGCACTTGACAGGAATGCTTTTAAAAAAGTAAACAGTTATTTGCGGCCATCCTGCCGCATAGAAAAACAGAACACGGGCTCATTAAAGTGAACACTCCATGTGCACCCTTATGCAGCATGTTCACGAAAACAAGCGTCAACCATGAACCACTCTCTTCAGTTTCCGAAGTGTGACTTTGCCAGGATAAAAGTTCTGTCAGTTTCGAAATGATGATAGGCATTTTTGCACGCTGTTACGATACCTTTGTTGGAAGGAATAGCCGGCGAGGGACGGCAACTTTGTCTTTGTGGGCGTACGATGAATTTGATGAATAGATGCATCACGCCAGTGTTTCGGCTACCACACACCGACATTGCAGATTACTTGCTGTTTACCACAGTCTCGCTGTATACTGTGCTCGGCTACATCTAAGCACTCTGTACAGTCCGTGAAGGATTTGTCGGTGTGGAACAATACAGTGTTGAGGATGCTATGTAAAGGAAGGTTTGCCCTTGTTGGACTGTCAAAATAATGCAGTTTGAAAAAATCTAAGGAAAAAAACAGCATTTGCCTTTTTTTTAGTTACCGTGAGGAAATAGGGATTACGCATCAGACTAATGAAAACCAAGTCTTACTAAAATGGAATGGGCTTAAAAGAAGCAGGAATGTCTATTGGAAAATCAGCTTGAGGCAATCAAAACACCATGGACCACTCGCTGGCGGAATCTGGGGTGCCGTACTCCTAGCGCGCGGAAGTTGCTCAGTGGTAAATAAATTCATTTGGTCAGCGAGCGCGGCTTTGCGACCTTCACAGTGCCCTCCATGCCCTCTTTCCAGTGACACACGAGCCCAGTCGTGAGAAGCGGGTGCCATGTGTCCAACAGACAAATCAGAACAAAACTCATCAACATGACAAAGTGTCCTCCGCGGAGAAACGTACGCAAGGTCACTCACGAAGCCCACCCGACTCCGTTAAGGCAGACCCTCGAACCGAGATGTTCGGGACTGCTTGCACATCAGGCAGGAAAGTCGCTTTCCAGAGAGGAACAGGCCAGCATCAGCGACGAAACAGCACCATTCTACGGAATCAAGCGGGGTTCGTGGGCCACGCTGTATGCCAAAATATATCACAAAATTAGTGATTATCTTTTAATTATCTAAAGTGGAATTTTTATCTAACTTCTTTTAAAAATCACTAAAAAAATATTTGAAAAAATAACGCAAAAGTGAGTAGTGCACGCACACACGGAATGTTTGGTTCCGGGTTGTCAGACAGCCAGGCTGACTCCCACATGCCCTCGTCCGCTGAATGTTGGGGTGGGGTCCACTGTTATTCAACCAATGTGACGTCATATTCGTTAGAATGTGACCGTTCGTTTGAAAAAGGTATAACATTCGTTAGGACGTGGATCACTCGTGTAAATTTTGTCAGAATGTCAGAAACATGTCTGAAATCCTGATCAAAATTTGCGCACCTCTGAAAGCTGAAATTCTGAAAACTTACTCTGATATTGATGGTGTGAGTTCTACAGAATGTCAGGAGATGTTTTCAGCTTTCAGAGGTGCGCGAATTTTGATCAGGTTTTCAGACAGGTTTCTGACATTGTGATAACATTTACACGAGTGATCAACATTCAAACAAATGTTACATCATGTTAAAAGGAACGACACAGAATTCACAATCTACACTGCAATCCATGTGTGAGGCAGCTTGGCGTCAACTAAAATGTCGCACGCTCACATCTGTGAGACCCTCAAGTCCCTTACTGGATGTGCGAGACACGGTTTGTCCCACACATTTTGTCGTTGCTGGCCTCGTGGCTTCGATGCCACGGGGCCGCTGATTGCAAGTGTGCACGCTAAATGTTAATGTATTTTTTTTGTCAATAACTATGGCCATATTTGTACATATGCAGGCTGTGTACAATTTAATACATAAGTTGACAATATTTCCATGTTGTGCTTAAGCATTCATTAAATTGTCCCCAATTTACGTACAAATGGGTACACGGTAAAAAAAGGAACCGGGCTTTTTCCAGGATCTCCCTGGAAAGCCCATGGGAAAACCAGGTATCGTTTTTACCGTGTACATAACTTTCGTATGTACAAATGTGGCCATAGTTATGGACAAAAAGTCCAAAAGAATTTAGTATGTGGGCCAGACGGCGTCCTACGATTGCAAGCGAGAGACATTTTTGGTTCACGCCACATAGTATGAGACTGCCCCACACTTGGATCGGCAGTTCAACGAATATGGCATCACATTCGCTGAGTACAGCGCAGCTACGCTCTACGTTACGCGTACTTCGCTTGGGGTGGAAGATGAGGGCGGTCGGGTTCCGGAAGCGCGTCGTGATCTCGTCCTCGTCGTCCTGGGGCGCGGCGTCCAGCAAGCCGCACAGGACGAGCGGCAGCGCCGTGGCCTCGCCCATCTTGAGCACCGTGGCGCTCGCGGCGCTCGCAGAGCAGCGTCTGGGGCTTAGCTCCAGGTCGCTGTAGTGTCGGTGGGCCATCCCGTTCCTACCACTACTGTCTGCGCAGTCCAGGGCAAAACAACCTGTGTGTGTGTCTGTAGGTGTATGGGTGTCGGGAACTGAGCCGACGCACGGATACAGAGGAGCTGAATGGGGGTCCCACCCCCCACGAGACATGGCCGCCTAAAACGTAAGTAGAAAGCCATTGTTTGACCCTGTCAGTACAGTAGTAAAACAAAGGCATTAAAAATACGCCCTGTAGGGCGTGAACAGTCTGTCACGCTCTTTGAGGGCATAATAAGGTTATGCCTGGAAGGGCATTAGCATATTGCATAGAAGTTATTACGATTCACGACGATCCAGGGGCGTGAATCGTTAACGCCCTTTAAAGGCATAGTTCTAATAGCAAAAAGTGCTCCACCCCCCTCTCTGGATCCGCGTTTGACCTGGAAAGAACAGGAAGCTTTTTTCTTTGCAGTGCGTACTCATTTTTGTCGACTCACTGGGGCCGAGACGTGATTTTCGCCTACCTTCAAGGCGGCCTGGCTAGTACCTAAGGATCCCCCACTCCCTCCCCTGGATCCGTGCCTAAGCGGGGTGGACAAGCCACCACGCCAGCCGGAATGCCCGAAAGAAAAAAAAAATTAAACTTTCAGAGACTTAATGCACGCAAAAGCGCCCCATAATCAACATGCAGAATAATACACTTATGGACGTGACGTCTGCAAGACAAGAAAGATGCGTTCTTGCAGTAGTACACTGCCAAAGTAGGCAGCCATCTAGAGCGGCAGACAATGATATGGGTCGTGAATTCATCGATGTGACAATGAGTCGTTCAAGAAGTCGACGGTCGATGCCTTGGAAAGGGCACTGAGTTGTGATAAAGTGAATCGTGTTACGGCCCACAAAGACCTGACTAAGAGGTTTATGACACAAATGCGCACACTTCGCACGTGCTTTAGTTTAACATGCGGAAAAAGGAAGCTCTAAGTCATCGCTCGATGGTCCACAACAGAGAAGACTGAACACAGACAGTACAACAGCCACGTTAGACAAGCTACAAACATTCAGCTTTGCGACGTTCAAAGTAGTATCTAGAAAATAAAGTGCATATTGTGAGGCAGAAACGCCGATTTATTTCTGGAGCTGTATTTTGTTTTGGTACAGTGTACCCAAATTAAATCTAAAGATTGAAAAGTTCTGCCTCACAGGAGCGGATGAAACAGGCATGGCGAAACACAGTTACAGACGAACAGTCAAAAGACACATCGACGGGAGAATGAACGTTGACCTCTCGGATAACCAACTTACCATCCGAGTTTTTCTTGGATATTCCTGTGTCAGCCACTGAGTCCTCACTGTGGCTGGCATTCAATTGCCTATGACTGTTTATGCCTCCACCTACAAAAATCACCTGTCTTTTCAGAGTCTTACAAAAAAATGTTGACAAAAGCACTTGTGAAGTCTCAAATCTGAAGGTTAATCTGTTAGCATGTGTTAGGAAAAGAAGCAAATTTGGGCGTCATCCAGAAGAATAGCAGAAGAAAAATTTTACACTGATATTTTATGCTGCAATGGCATGAAGTATTCTTTACTGTTTGAAATACAAGAATTACGAGAAATGACATCCCTTTATTTTTTCTATGCGACAGAATTCTAAATAAAGTTGTAAGTGCCACCCTACTGGCCCCAGTGCAGCGCATAGAGGAGGGAATGCTAGATTGGCTAGAGGTATGCCCGTAGCTGTGCCTGGAGTAACATGTGTCAAAGTTACTATATAATCGTAAAGCAAAGAAAATTGGCAACGTTTACAAAATACTAATAAAAGCAAAATTCAAGTAAAGTATTACAGGCACTTTGTGACTTGAAGTACAGCTTAGTGGAGAACTGGTGACAACTGAAATTATGAGCTGTCTTTGACACCCTCAAACATCCATACTCCACTGGTAAGTCGACGTTACATTGGTGAACTTTTCTTAGCCATCTCCAGTCTACGATTGAACAATATAGAAGCTCGTGACTTTCAAGCACACCGTTAATCGTGTCAGAAAAATATGCAATCCTAGCTGTCCACAAATTCATAGACAGACTCCCCTAGAGCGCGGCCGTCAAGCTGCTTTTATTGTCTAGGAGTCTTGTTAGTATTCAACCGGTGCACTGTAATATTCTTGTCGTCACTCGATGACAATTTTAAGGTTACATTTCCTTACAAGAATGTCATCAAACAAATTAACGCCATTGTCGTCACGCCCATGCAATGAGTGCAGGAGCTTTAAGGCATCAATGAACGACGGAATAGTCATCATTTTACAAGGATGGAAATGTCATCCACGTTTTTGTCCTGGAGCGACAACAACTTTTGACAGTGTGCTCACCTAGGTTCTCGACGGACGTGTTGAACTCAGCGAAGCCCCTCGGGTTGGACGCCCCGGTTTTGGCGATGGAGGGCGAGTGGTGGAAGGACGTGCTCTTGTGGCGCCGGATGGTGGGCAGTCGGGACACGAAGGACGCGTTGTGTTTGAAGCTGGAAGAGACGCGACTGGAAATGAGAAGCACACAAGGGCGGCCGGAGCGTGGTCAGTATGCAGAGGCTAGTCGGACTACAAGCAGCACAACGAGGAAGGCGGTCACATCACGTCTAGGTTAGCAGCAACAATCTGCAGGCGAAAGACACAGTTGAAAATTACATAGTTGGCAAAACCTGGGAGGTGCGTTTCAAAGCTGCTCTCCGGGATATATTTGCAAAAAGTTCTTTTTTTTTCAAATTCGATACCTCCTAATAACAAACACGTAGTTTGATCACCGGTTTCAATACTCACGTTCTTTGAGTATTGAGGCCAACAAACACGTAGTTTTGCTAGAAGACGCAACAAGCACGTAGTTTTCTGCTACGGGCTAACAAACGCGTAGTTTAATCGAGTGTTTTATTTTAGACTGAAAATGGACATTGGGCATTCATGGAGGGTGTACAATTTACATAATATTATGTTTTGAGTCACTTTTCACCTAATAGTGAAGAGTCTTGTCGGTAGGGACACGCTGAAAGTACTTTGAGAAGCTGTTCGCCATGCTGTATTTTACTATATTTTCACTGAAAACAGCCTCTAAACACGTTTCCAAGCTTAAATCCTGTCACTGTGACTGTTTTTTACCGCCTTATAGTGATCACACGACTTACACAGTAATAATATTGTAGAAAATGGAACTGCGTGTTTGTTGAACCGAACTACGTGAGTGTTTACTCGCGACTCCCGAACGGCCGCGAAACTACGTGTTTGTTGGTCTCGTTGCTCAAACTGTGTGAGTGTTGAAACCCGTAACCAAACTACGTGTTTGTTATTAGGAGGTATCGAATTAATTATTTTAAGCTATGTCTTCTGGAAACTCACGGTGCATGGGAATCCCATGGAAATCGTGGGCTGCCCTTCTGTGCAATAAGACTAGATGATGACCGTTTCGCCCTGCCTCCAAGTAATTTTAGAACAGATATGAAATTCTGCAATAATTAACTACTCCAATTTGCTTCTTCAACCCTACCCTATTAAGCCCTCAAAAGCATAAGTCAATTTAAAATCTACAAATCCTTTCAAAATTTCAAAGGTAACCCCATGGTTGAGATTTTTACAAAAAAGATAAATTTGGAATGAGCTTTTTATTATTGAGTGTTCCAAATAAAGCTCTGGCCACTATTTCCGGCTAGAATCGCAAGCGTTTTAGGAAGTATGTACAGAGTCTAAAAATACTAGAATGTGAAAAGAAATGCAGAGGGGGCGCCATGAGGCTGCCCGTCGTGCTAGGTACACTGTTATGTTATCGCTGAGCAGCACTAAAAATGCTACAGCTTGTTTGGTGGTTTAAATAAGCAAGACCATTTACGAACCGTCACATGGATTCGTTAGGAAGAAAAGGTTGACGATCGAGAAAGGAAAGAAAGACAGGTGTATAGGAAAAAGGAAACGTGGAAAACTCCGTCGCGCTAGGGGGTTATACAGTACATGTTCAGCGGGAAGTCAGCAAAGTATGCTCACTTTACGATTTGAATAAGACACAAAAGGGGAAGGATAAGCTTGACCAGCTTGAAAATGAGCCGATTGCAAGACAAAGGCGGAGATGACCCCTCGGCGTGTGACATCCGGGACGCCCTCAACCGGTAACGGCTATTGCGAACAAACATTAGGGCCATTGATTTCGTTGTTGGTTTTCTTGCCAGCAAAACTAGCTGCATTGCTACGTAAAGCCTACGGAACTGGTCTGTGCGAAGTGAAACTCCTCACGGGGGAAGGATGGCTAAATTTGGACGGCATTTCCGGAACTGATTCGACTCGTGACATTCTTCTCTTCGCACAGGCCGGTTGCTGAAGAGATACCTAGACTTACACCAAGGAGGACGAGGAGCTCTGGGACTGCATCTTCTTCAGGTTGCCTGGCCCTGCCTTCTCCGACCCCTCTTGGGCCTTGATCCTTTTTTCCATTTAATTTAACGCGAAGGAAAAAAACACAAACACAGAAGGAACGGAGCATGAGTCTCAGGTCAGGGAGAGGATGGGTTTGTGTGTGTGTGCGCGTCTCGATAGTGAAGCTTTGAACACCCCATGCAATGAAGAAAAGCTATCGATGCACTCGGCTATCGAGTGCAAAATCGCTAAATGATATGTGTGTGTGTGTGTGTGCGCCTGATTTTGTAGCAGACAAATCCTAATTTATGAACGCATTCCAATGCTAACAACGAATGTTTTAAAATCAAACTTACGGGTCTACGGGCTTATGGGTCTTGTCTACAGTTATCGGCATTATCGAAATCGAGAAACGCTGCGACATCTACACTGACAAGCCACGTGTCTAAGTACTGAGCACGCAATTTCGTGTTTAAAGTGTGTACTTAGTACACACATTTACTTCCAGTGTACGTAGACTCACCTAGCTGGGAAACAAGTTGTTCGTGAACCCACCCCAGACTCACCTAGCCGGGAAACAAGTTGTTCGTAAACCCACCCCAATCCTAATTACAGATACCTTGCGTATTGCTAATCTCTTTAAGAAACCAGTATATTAAGTGTGCAGGAAATAGTGTCGCTTTGATAGTGAAATTTTTGTTATGAGATCAGCGTGATGTTAAAAGCCGGAACACAGCGTTAGTGAATAACCCTTTTAATTCTGTGGACACCACGCAGTTCCCTGTGCTGCTTTGGCATGTGGCACCAACTTGTCACCATCCCAAATATTTTTGTCACATCACCATTAATAAACCAAAACGACGTCATCCTACATTTTTCTGTGCCCCACAAAATCCAATGTGTGCTTAGTACACCTCTATACGAGTTTATTTGACGATAACATATCTACAGGAGTGTAATAGGCAAGTACACATCAGTGGGAGCGCACTGGTAAAAGCAGACACTCATCTATTCACTGCATAGACTGTTTTGACATGAGTCTCCACACCAATTGACGGTGCCCGTGCGTGCCCAAGTAAATTCCTGTGGGGGTGAATTCATGTGAAAATGTATACCATCACACATTTGATTTTGAAGTGCGGGCTGCGGGTATCGATAGGCATTTGAATGGTACTTACGATGGAGGGCTCGGTAGCGGGATTTGGTGGATCTTCCACGTGGCCGTGGACATGGAATGCTCGTCCGCGGCGTAGCACCGCCAGAGGCTCTGGATGAGTTTGGCGGCGGGCTGCCGGCGCCGGATCATGTGCTTCTGCCGCTGCTGCTGCTGCACTTTGAGCGCCAGTCCGGAACCCAGGATGCCCTGCGACAGCGACAACACGCTCCTTGCACAGCTAACCTTGTTGAGTCTGTTTTTTTTGTTGGTTTGTGTGTGTGTGTGTGTGTGTGTGTGGGAGGGGGGGTGGGACTTACGGGCACACGATAAAAGCGGAACCTGGTTTTCCCAGAAACTCTCTGGAAATCGCCTATGTTTCCACCATAGGCTTCCTAGGAAAACCAGGTTCCGTTTTTACCGTGCATAAAAGACAATGTTAGAGCAAATAAGGTAAAAAATCAATTGTGGGTCTGGGTCACAAATCAATCATGGGCCATTTTATTTGACGGACCGCTACAAATCCATGCATCGGCGAATCTATTTCAATTTCGGTATGGGTCTTCCCTCAACCTTCATTTGTCACCTACTATGGCCATGGATATCAGAACAACGACCAGACAGAACGCCACCTATAGTCAGCAAAGAAGGACCTTAAAATTCGAAAAGAAAATTGGGCCTATCCGAGGGCAAAAAAAGAAGAAAGAGGATGTTTTTGGAACACACTAAATTCTTGTGGACTTTTTTATGCATAGTTATGCATGCTCAGAAACGTCCATATGTTATTATGCATCACTGTGTACATTTTATGGAGGAAGATGCATAAAATGTACACAGTGATGCATAATTTTATACATAACATATGGACGATTCTGAGCATGCATAACTATGCATAAAAAATGCGTCTTTATGCATTTAAAAAGTCCATAAGAATTTAGTGTGAACATTTTCAAAAAACTGAATTCTGGAGTGAATGGGAACGCCCTTCTCTTCTGGTGAAGGTGAAGGAACGTAGGTTGATCTAAGTTTGCAGAAATTGCTCGAGGCTTAGTGCGCGGATAGCTTTCACAGCTGCTGACCCACAATTGGTTCCAAAAAATCAATTATGGGTCAAAACAGCCTATTTTTGAAACGGCCGTAGTTCGGTGAACGAGGACGACGTACGGTGCTGCAATGCTTCAGAACGGAGTCAAGAGATCATATTTAAATGCCTTAAAGCCACTTTGGCTACTTGTTTAAAATTTATACTTCAAATATGCTGTTAAATATTAGTGACCTACAATTGATTTTTTACCTAAACATAACAAGAAAAGAAAACAATAGAATTGTAATATAGAAGAAAATCGTAACATCAAGGGTGTCAAGATCTATACACACTAAATTACTGGGTGATTATTTTGTGCATAGGTCTTGCACAGAGTTGAGAATGTGCATGCGTTTAAAATTACACGAACTTGTGCGATACATTGTGACGGCCATACTCACCGCCGGGAGCGCGAAGAACGAGATGCCAAGCAGGGCGCAGAACGACGCAATCACCTTGCCCTGCCAAGTGGACGGTACTGCGTCACCGTAGCCTACGGTGCACAGGGTGATCTGGAAAGCGAAAAATGGTACTGGTACCGCACACCGGTGGAAATGCACTGTCAAAACTTGAGACGCGACTGTTACACTCCGAATATCCTACTGAGCTTTTTCTTCGTAATACGTATCTCATTACGTGGGCCGAATGGGGAAAAATGTCTCAGTCCTTTGAGCACTGTGTCACATTTGTTTTGATGTGGATGGGCCATAAATTAGCTTATCCACGTTTAAACGAATGTGACACAATGCTCCGAGGAACTTAACGTTACGTTCCTGGAATGAGAGTGAATGTCCCGATTCTTGAAAATTTGAGTGTCTGTGAGAGACAGCAAATTATTTCAAAATGTTGAGAATAGTAACTATCAATTCAGTCAAGGCATGTGGCGGTATCTTATTTCCTCCGAGGAAACCAGTAAGGATGTCGTCCAAGATTGTCGCTAAGCTTATACACGTCCAACACATCCAATGAGATACTCACCACTCCCCACCATAGTGCGTCAGCGAAATTTTCGAAGCCCTTGTTGCCTGCTTCTTTCTCGACCAGATAGACGAGAAAGGAGGCAAAGATAAGGCCGAGGAAGCCAATATAAAGCGTAGTTATCAGTTCCTGAAAGAACAGAGAAAGGTGAAAAAGAAATGCTCTCGTAGAGCGCACGGCATACGGGATTCATAACAGGCCTCCTAATCTTGGTACACTGCAAATACAAGTGTCAAACAGTTTCACACAACGGCGTAAAACAAAATATATAAAACCTATACAAAACAAAATATATCGCCAGCGCCAGCAAGTGTGAGATGCTATCACCGATAAGGCAGGTTATTTATTCACGAAAAGAGGGCAAGCCTCGCTGATGTCTGACCTTTTTTCGGTCAGACAGTCGGACAGTCATGTCGCACCCCTGAGAGGGTGAGTCTTGCCTTTCAATTTTCAGTGAATGAATTTAACACTGAAAGTGCGTTACCGGCGTGACGTTGAACCGTCTCAGGGGCATAAATAAAAAGGGGATACAGACCCCTTACAGTATGTCCTTATACGGAGAGATGCTTGAAGTGTCGCCGGAAATGGGTCAGACGTTTCACGATATAAATTTGACAGTGCACTGGTAAAACGAAGGCATTAAAATGACGCTCTTTAAGAGCGTCTCACGCCGTTCTCAAGGGCATGAAACGATTGTGAAAGCGTGTGAATTCACGCGCTTAAAACCTTACGACGTGTTGTCAGCATACATAGTACAAACCAATATGGTTTCTTATACGAAGAAATAGTTCGTAAATTGCGAAGAATTTTCTTTGTATGTGTTCTCTTTCGGTGTGCTCAAAATATTTTGTCATGACAAGTTTTTTTCTTTGTTAGGCCAATATAAATAGTTCGTTTTTTTTTAAAGTGCACAACGTGCCAGGACACCGTCTGAATGTCTTTTTTACCAGTGTGGCTGTGGGGCATGCGCTGCACTGCGCTGCAGCGAGACTGACCTGCCGGTGGGCGTACACGACAGAGCCTAGCAGCTTCCAAGTGCCGCCCCGCCTGTCCATGCGCACCATGCGCAGGATCTGGAAGAAGCGGAGGCCTCGCAGTGCCGTCAGCACCTGCCCCGAGCTGCCCATGGACAGCACCACCAGCGACGCCAGGATAGTGATGATGTCTGCGAACGGCAATGCGATTAGCGGCAGGGCACACACTCACTGTAAGAAGGGCCGTGATTCGGTGCGGAAAATGTACAGAGCACGGGCAAAAGGACAGAACGTCCGTCCGTACTTCTTTGCTGCCCGGACTGAAGATAAACTGTGAAAATTTGAGTCGTCACTTGATGACAATTTCAAGGCTAATTTTCCTTACAACACTGTCATCAAAACAATTGATGACATTGTAGTCATGCCCATGCAATAAGTATAGGAGCTTTGAAGAAAATGTCATCAATTTTGATGAGATTGTCATCATTTGAAAGTGATGAAAATGTCATCCACGTTTTTGTGATAAAATGACATCAAATTTTCACAGGGAAGGTGCGCCCTCAGTGGCAGTGCTAGACTCAAGACTCCTATGTTAAGACAAATTTATCACGCGCGAGCAAATTTGCAAGACAAAGTATTCTCACCGATGATGCAGAAAGGCCTTCTCAGGAATTTTAAACGGCCACAGCCGCCTTGATATATGGACCGGCATCCTGACGACCATAACCTGGCAATCGTCGTTAAATATAAGTTAAGGGATGATTGTACTAAACAGTCCCACTGGAGCAAAATGATAGATGACAGAAAAAAACGAATGTCAGAAGTATGGCAGTACTGGATGGAAGCAACATGTAAGTGTCACCATCGCAATTTCGTACTTGAGATAGTTTACAAACCACAAGAGTATATACTATAAACCTAACTGTGTACTAAGTTCACACTTGCATGCTTGCAAGTACATACCTACAAACGCTTGCGTGACGTCGTATAACTCCATGCTAAGCATAGGCGTTTCTAAGCGTGTACTTGGTCAAGCATGCGTTTGTAAGTGTGTACTTGAAAGCATGCATTTGTAAATGTGTGCAAAGTAGACAGTCAGGTTTGTAGTGTTCTTTCAAAATGGCACTATTTCGCTGGGCTCAAATTTTGGTGGTCGATGGTCTTTGGTGCGTTTTACTGCAAGAATTTTTTTCTGGAGTTAAGCGGCACAGAACAGCTGTTTTGTGACCTTTCTTTGAGGAATCTCAACTTTGATAAAAGTGGCAATCAAACGAGTGGACATAACGCAGACAAGTGTCGCCCTTTGGTTTCTGGTCTTATTTGGATTATTTGGAGTGACCACCAAAATTTGAGCCTGAACAATAAATAGCCATTTAATAGACGAGTTCCTTTGATATGGAAATGCTTACTACATCGTTTTTTTTGTTTTCTCAAACTGCTTTGGAATGCGCATCATGTACCTCATTGGTCAACATGCATTTTAATTCAATGCGTCGAGGAAGAAAGAGTCTGACTCACCTTAAAATAAATTCTATCACAAACCAAATGACGACCACCATCTCTGTCTTTAGAAGGATGTCACTGGCGATCTCGACGTAGGTGTCGATAGTCGAGAAGACGCTGAGCACGAGGCAAGTGAAGACAACGCAGAACCTGCAACAGCAACAAGGTAAGTTGGCAATGCGCCACGCGCTGCCACGACGGCAGGGCTGCCAACTCGTTAGCAGCAATCAGGTGCAGCCTGCCAGGGCGGCAATGCACCTGCCTGTCAGCCACGCGGGCTGGACCCAGCGACAAAAGTCACGCAGAGTTTCAGACCGCAGTGAATATTCACTCATTAATTTCTGCCAACGTTATTTCTGCCTCCACTGGGAGATTAAAGGTACAGAAAAAGTGTGGATCAGTCTGGTCAACAAATTGCCGCGACCGTCTGTACCTGTCAAGTACGGAACTTTCACACTTTTTCGGTACCGTATTCCTCTTAACATTTATCGTACAAAAAAACGCATTTTTACAGTGTATTTAACGTGAAAAGTTCGCCGCTGCGTTTGGTTGGACAGGTCGCTTAGGGTCGCTGATCGGTGCTGTCATCCAACGCAGTAGTGGAAATGTGTTTTAACACCAGCAAAGCCAGTACAAAGCCTGTAAATGTGATTCCTCAAAATTTTTCATCGTATTTTATGTCTATTAAAGCTTGAATAGAGAGTCACTGCGCCTAAATGTTACGAGACGAAAGTTTTGGTCAGACCTTTACGTCTTGCCGCCTTGTGGCGTGGCAGTTTTGTCTGACCAAATTTGAGCGAGACTTTCAGGGCCTGACCAAAAATATATAGCAGTGTCGTGTTAAAAAAATTCAAGAACAGTTAAGCTCAAAGGGACAAGATGCACACATTTGTGCAATTGCGAGGCAAGGCAAAACCCGTAGGCACAACATTCTCGGAGTGGACTTCGCCCGAAACAAGACTGCAACCGGCCCAGCTGACTCTCATAAGTCATAGAGATTTTATTCAATTTGCGACGCGGGATGAAGTGCTCGCTGGGGATTTGTTGTCGCCGTCTTCCTGATGGGACCGCCCTGCAGATGGACCGATGCAGAGAGTAGGAGTGAGGGGGAACGGCAAGTTGGGGGGAGGGGGAAGCGCCCCCGGCCGGCGATGAAGAAAATGGCATGAGAGAGGAGAGAGAGGGAGTAGAGAGAGTGGAGAACGAGGTACAGAAGTAGAAGGAGTGTAGAAGAACCGAGAAGAACTCATAAAAGTCTTTATTCCAGAGTTGTCACGCTTATGTAGTAATTCTAGGAGCTTCGATGAAAATATCACGAATTTGTGACGAAATTTTTATCATTTGGAAGCGACGACAGTATCCATCCATCATAAGAACGCATTTTTTATGCATAGTTATGCATGCGCAGAAACGTCCATAAAGTATGTAAAAAATTATGCATCACTGTGTACATTTTATGCGTCTTCCTGCATAAAATGTACACAGTGATGCATAATATTATACATAACATATGGACGTTTCTGAGCATGCATAACTATGCATAAAAAAAACCATAAGAATTTAGTGTATATTTTTCACACACTAAATGTCTATGTACAATTTATGTGGTGATGCATGATTTCAAACCTGTGGACCGCTGTGCATAAAATGGGCAACGGGGATATATGCCTCTAAACATGAAAAAGAAACTTCGGATAACACGGCTTTTTACTCGACTAGTTTCAATTTATTTCCGGCTAATAGGAATTTAGGTGGCCAAATTCTTTTCTTAACCTTAGTTTTGAGTTTTATGCCCAAAAGAGACCTGTTTGACCCATTTAGGACGGGGGTCAATGGAGATGTGTGCCTCCAAAGATCACCCACATTAAAATTTACGACAAAAAAAAACAACGGAAAAGTCGAAAAAGTCCCGTTTTTCGTTTTTGTACCTTGGGAGGCATACACACTAAATTCTTATGGTTTTTTTTATGCATAGTTATGCATGCTCAGAAACGTCCATATGTTATGTATAATATTATGCATCACTGTGTTCATTTTATGCAGGAAGACGCATAAAATGTACACAGTGATGCATAATTTTTTACATACTTTATGGACGTTTCTGCGCATGCATAACTATGCATAAAAAATGCGTTCTTATGCATTTAAAAAGTCCATAAGAATTTAGTGTGTATGTATCCAGTTCCCCCGGCCTTTACGAGTAGGAAAGGTCTCACTTTATAGATAATAATCAAAACTTAATTAACGAAAGGAATTTGACCACCCAAATTCATATTTGCCGGATATAAATTGAAGCAAGTCAAGAAAAAACCGTGTATTTTCGTTTTTGATCTTTGACGGCACAAATCTCCCATTGTTAGGGATTTTTTTTTGTAAAATAACGATTGTTTTGCTGTTTTCCCCTGCGATCAACATGGATAAGACAGGTCTCACTCACCTAACCTTGGCAAAAGCAGCCATATTTTCTTGTCCTCACAACTTCCAAAGTATTTAATTATAGGTACCACTACCCTATTGGTAGACATCGACATTAGATTAAAAAATAGTAGTCAACCCATGCTTAATTTCGATATGGACAAGATCATTTAAAATGTGATCCTTGTTTGGTAACCCTATTCCTTGCCATTCGGACTATCCCTCGGACGTCCATGGGACTATGTTTTGTTGACTTGTTTTGCTGACTGTGTTGGTGATATCACATGTCATTTTACGTAATCCTTCAGTGGGAATTTAATGTTCAGTTGAGGAGAGAGAGAGAGAGAAAGAGAGAGAGAGTGAAAGAGAGAGAGAGAGGGAGAGAGAGAGGGAGAGAGAGAGAGAGAGAGAGAGAGAGAGAGAGAGAGAGAGAGAGAGAGAGAGAGAGGAGGGAGGGTGGAAGGGAGAGAGGGTGAGGATTGGATGAGTCGCGTGCTGGCAAGAGGCGTGGAGATTCAGGCCAGGATCAACTCCGTGACAAAATGGAGAGCGCGCAAAGTCGAAGGAAAAAGGGGGGGGGGGAGGCGGAGAGAATGGAAGGGGCAGGGAAGAGGATGGGGATGATGAGAGTAATAGAAAGACTTTGCTTCTGCAGCGCACTGCGCCCAGCTCCCGCTCCAATGCCAGCACAATCCCTCTTCTCTGCCGCCCCACCAGGCGGTCCGTCCGCTCGGCCTGTTCGTCTGTCAAATGTCCGGCGCGGCAAGTTCATGCCATGGAAAGGAGGCTAAACGAAGCGAAAAACGGTCCGTATGGACGGCTCTAACTTTTCCCTCGCTTTGTGATGGGGCTCTTCTATGATCTGCAGAGGTGGTCTCTGTTTACTCCGCCGCCGGCTTACGTTTCAAATTGTCACCTCACAGGAATGCAAAGCGTGGCACGAAATTGAAGCTCCCAACAAAACGTCGAGCCCGGTGCACGACAGAGTGCCAATTTGTTGATGTAATCAGGCAACCCTTTACGATTTCTTTTATTCTGGCTCGGATTCTGGCTCGGGTTCGGATCCTCTGGCTGAGGGTAGACCCAAACTTGATCCTCCCTGAAAGACCAAAGCCTGTTGGAACACGCCAGATGATTGTGTTCAAAAGGCGTAATAGTTTCAAGTGCAGATGAATTTTTCATACAAATTTGGACGTTATTTTGAAGACGAGAGAAATAGTGCAGTTTCCGCAAGCCGGGGTAATATGAGACGGAGTTTGGTTTGCGTAAGATTCACTCTGAGCTCGCTATTCGGCCACAAAGAGAGCCACTGCTCTAAAAAATTAATTACTCTTTGTTGGTAACATTTTCCGCCGTGATGTCTGACAAGGATAAGTCATCAAATGCCACGATCATTATAATTTTAACGATAAAAATCATGCGTCTCGTATTACCCCGAAATTGTCTCATATTACCCCGCCCTACGGTTTTCGCACAAAAATTTCATCTGCACAAAAAAAACCGTAACGTCTCGTACATAATTGAACACAACATATGAAATCAGGAGCACTCGCCAAGAGAATCAATCTGCTTCCTCGACGGAAATAAACGTGCAGATGAGAAAAGTGCACCGTCATAACATGGAGCTTATATCTTGACTTGGATCCATCCTTCGACCAGTTATTTCAACCAAGCATCAAAATCTGAGGGCGCAAACCGTGACACAGTGATGTCCAGACGGCTATATGTTCCAGGCCACAGGGCGGCAAATATTTTGTATTCCTTTTCGTCGCAGAAGGTTGGCCATGGCCACCTGCATTTTTCCGATTCCGCTTGGCACACACGCACCGAGAGAACCTTGCGATAAATAGGTCAGTGGGGCGCCCTATTCCTCCGCTCGGCTCCAAAGTAGAGCGGGGCGCCGGCAGCATTGCTCGGCAGGCAGGCCTCATAAACGCTGCGCCAGGAAGTTGATGTTTGTTTACCTGCCGCATTGTACAAGGATTGCGTGATTCCAGGCATCACTGCAGCGGAGCGCCGCGACCGAGCTCGCCTGGCTTTCTCTATTTTAGCATCCTCCCCATCCCCCCGTTTTTTTCAGGTTTGCGTTTTCAGTCTTTTGTTTTACTTCAATGCGGCGTTACCGCGAATCTGACGTACACACTCGATTCCTTTACGCGCTAGTTAGTACGGGGTCTGACATAAATAACTTTGCGCGTGCCTGCTTTTCCTTCACATTGGACACAAATTTCGCGTTGTACGAAAAAAAAAAAACAACAAAAAATAAACGCAAACCCAAAATGGGCAAATATGTACAGTTTTTCAAACAAACTTTGTACAAAAAGTTCGTGTGCACAAAAAGCTGTGATGTCTCGGACAAAAATTGTACCTAACACTTGATATTAAAAGCTAGGATGCCACAGAAGACTTAAAAGCTGCACCAATTGAATATATTTGTACACACTAAATTCTTATGGTTTTTTTTTGCATAGTTATGCATGCTCAGAAACGTCCATATGTTATGTATAATATTATGCATCACTGTGTACATTTTATGCAGGAAGACGCATAAAATGTACACAGTGATGCATAATTTTTTACATACTTTATGGACGTTTCTGCGCATGCATAACTATGCATAAAAAATGCGTTCTTATGCATTTAAAAAGTCCATAAGAATTTAGTGTGTAACACTTTGGTTTTAAATCACTGATGAAATAATTTATGAATTCAGAAATTGCGTATTGATTGTCTTA